AAAAGAAAGAAAAAAAAAGACCTGGGGCCCAACTGCTTCAGTTCTACCATATACTACCTGTATGAACTGGACTAATCACTTAAGTTTTCTGTGCCTCCATTTCTTCACTTCTCAAATTACAACAATAAGAGTATCTCTTTCATATGGTTCATGTGAGGAATACATAGCCTAATATATGTAAAGCAATTAGAACATTACCTGGCACTCAGTAAACACTCAATAAATGTTACCTAACATTGGTATTAAAACCAGTGCGAGTATCAGTAATCTTCCACAGAGACAATAGTCTAAGGAATAAAGACATTACACTTAAATACTAGGGAAACAAGACAGAGATAACTAAGGTATAATATAAAAACCTCACCTACAAACTGGCAAGAAATTACAGTACAAAAACTTATAACCTAATTTCTGAAGTTTTGTTGTTTAGAAACAGAGTACTCAGTCAAGCCATAATACTCATGCTCTTGACAAATTACATACCATTGTTTGCCATGACACAATCCTCTAAGGCATGACAATGGAGATCAGTGAATCTTCTAATATGGCACACATAGAGTGGGATTTTAACTAGCCACCATATGAAATGGCTGGGCATACTTGAGACTAACAGATGTTCTACCTCTGTTCAAATAATAGCCAACAAAGTTACTGCCACAGTACCCTAAGAGCTAAGAAAAAGACTTACAACCTAATCATATTTATTGTCTTCCTTGTTGCTTTCTCTTTTGCCTTTGACCCAATCTAATTCAAAATGCCTTTCATGAAATGAATGTTTGCACTTTGTACTTTGGCCGTATGATTGAGTTGTAGAACTGTGTATCAGACTCAGCTGATCATTTCAGGTATAAAGGCATACCTCTTTTCTCTGCTCAGTTACACACCTTCCATCAATATTCTGAGTCACTGACCTGTCCGGAGCGCTACCCTATTGTTCTATAGACTAACTCAAGCTCCTTTATCTGCTCACTCATCTTTCCTTTTTTTTTTTTTTTAAGACAGTCTCGCTGTGTCTCCCAGGCTGGAGTGCAGAGGTGCAATCTCAGCTCACCATAACCTCTGCCTTCCAGGCTCAAGGGATTCTACTGCCTCAGCCTCCTGAGTAGCTAGGATTACAGGCGTGCACCACCATGCCTGGCTAATTTTTATATTTTTTAGTACAGACAGGGTGTCACCATGTTGGCCAGGCTGGTCTCAAACTCCTGACCTCAAGCAATCTGCCCACTTTGGCCTCCCAAAGTGCTGGGATTACAGGTGTCAGCCACTGCACCTGGTCTCTTTTCCTAAAGTTCAGTTCAATTTATATAAAAAGCAAACTTCTGGCCAATAATTCACAATTGGGTAATTCACATATGGCTCACCAAGAATTGGCTGCATTTTAGAATGCAATTTAAAAATTAAATTTAGACTTCACTAAACAAAGATATCTACTTATTAATTTTTCTAATCTAACTAGAGAGTTAAAGAATTGATAGACTACAAACATAGTATGGTACCACCTTTGAGGATAGTATCAAAAACTTTTGTGTTTATTTTCTAAACTGAACAATTGTTAATACATTTCCATAATGACATTTCCTATTTCCTTACACACTAATTCACTTAATCCACACAATCCTTTGTGCTAGACATTACTATCTCCATTTTATAAACGAGGAGGTACATAAACATCAATGAGATAGATGCATGTTATTTTGTTAGGCTCTTCAAAAAGTTCTTAGAGAAAAGGCTGTTCATGAGAAAAGTGGTTAACTGAAATGAAATATTCCAAAGTAAATTTTCAATCTCTTCAATAATGCTAAGTAAGCCCTTTACAACCTAAAAGTTCTCTCCCTCTACCAATACTTTCTCTCTGTAGTTAAATGTTTCTGCAGTACTTCTTGTTCTGAACATGCTAGGCCTGGCGGGCCAAGAATTTGCCTTGGCCCTCCTCAGCTACCTAATAAATTCATACAGGACACGCCAAATGCAATAATAGCCAGGGATGTGGCCTTTCATGGCTTTTGCTAAACCTTTGACTGGTCTTGCAAAAAATATTTTTGAACTTTAGAATTTATTACCTAATTACAACAAGGGACGGTATAACCGATTAATTAAGTTGCCCCAAACGAAATTTGAATTGTGTTTACCTATCATCTAAATGTCATAGTAGGTAACAGTTCTAGGTACCACTGACAAATGGTGAAAAATGTGCTGTACATATCTGTAAATAAACTTAAGACTGACTTAAGAAAAGTATCCAAGTTAGGATTGAAAGTGTTCCCCTCCCCCTGCCCCAAGGTTTAGCTGTAGAAGTAAATAAGATGAGCCCTTTAATTTGAATCAAAGTGGACTTTAGGAAATTAAGTAGTTATGTTCTACAAGAAACACAAAGACAAAAAGAATATCTAATCCTTTGTTGGCAGAAAATTACTTTATATAATTTGTACAAAAGCAAATGTCAGTATGTGTGCTGCTGATTGTGAGGTAAATGAGAGGAAAAGGAAAATCCTAGAATTTTATAAATTAAAAATAAAATTTCAAAATGCAATAGAAGTTACTAAACATACCTATAGGAACGCAATGAAGAACAAAAAATTCTGCATTTAGAACTAACTATATATGTTTTTAAGTGTAAAGCTCAGAAGGGTGTTTTCCTATTAACTAGGGATTAAATTCTTAAGGACCATCTAGTTTTTCTTTTCATCCTTTACTGAATTGTTTTTGAGTTCTGAAACATTTCTCTGCCTTAATATGTGCAATATTCAAAATACAAAACCTACATATAATGTCATTTAAGAGCATCAGAGCAACCATTATGACATAAATATTTATTATATAAGAATGCAAACATATAGAGATTCCTACAATAATAGAAATGGAAATATACCTGAATATCTAAGACCACATCTGAAAGGTGTCTTCTAAATTAAATCCCAATTATCAAAATCAATTATTAACAAATTCCCATTAAATGTGTTCATTCAATTCCAGTTAATTTTGGCTAACCTAGGCTGGGCACGGTGGCTCATGCCTCTAATTCCCATTAAATTTGTTCATTCAATTCCAGTTAATTTTGGCTAACCTAGGTTGGGCACGGTAGCTCACGCCTGTAATCCCAGCACGTTAGGAGACTGAGGCAGAGGAATCACTTGAGGTCAGGAATTCAAGACTAGCCTGGCCAAAATGGTGAAACCCCATCTCTACGAAAAATAGAAAAGTTAGGAGGACATGGTGGTACGTGCCTGCAGTCCCAGCTACTCAGGAGGCTGAGACAGGAGAATCTCTTGAACCTGGGAGGCACAGGTTGCAGTGAGCCGAGATCATGCCACTGCACTCCAGTCCGGCGACAGAGTCAGACTCTGTCTCAAAAAAAAAAAAAAAAAAAAAAAAGGTCAGGCCTATTTTTGGCTCACCTAAACTTTATTAAATCATTCTGCAAATATTTATTAACCACCTAGTGGTTCTAGATAACTTAGCTACAATGGGGAGGAAAAAAAAGAGTCCCCGCCACTTGTTTTACATACCCTAATATTAAAGTCTATAATATTAATAGACTTTCAAATGCTTAACTATGTTCAGATCTCTTGATAAATATATTTCCCAAAATATTTGGAATCAACATCTTATCATTCAGTAGTATTCCAAAGAGAAATTCTAAAAAGGAAGAGGGTTATCTGGCACAGAACTATGCCAGCAAAAATGAAATAGATTTCTTTTTCAGTAAATTTAAATCACACTGCCAAAATATAGAATCTAGACCAGGCACAGTGGCTCATGCCTGTAATCTCAGCGCTTTGGGAGGCCGAGGAAGGCTGATCACTTGAGGTCAGGAGTGCAAGACCAGCCTTGGCCAACATGGTGAAATCCCATCTCTACTAAAAATACAAAAATTAGCCAGGTGTAGTGGTGGATGCCTGCAGTCCCAGCTATTCAAGAGACTAAGGCAGGAGAATCACTTGAACCAGGGAGATGGAGGTTACAGGGAGCCAAGATCATGCTACTGCACTCCAGCCTGGGCGACAGAGTGAGACTCTGTCTCAAAAAAAAAAAAAAAAAAAAAAAAAAAAGAATTTAATATTTCTCATATAATGCTCAAATTATTTTTCTTTTAATCTATTCCTGATTGCCTTATTATATTAAATAATTGATTTTTTAATATCACTTGGCATTTTATGTGCTTTAATAGAGCACATTTTGCTTTACTAAACCACAATGTGTTTAGGCAGCACCAAAGCAGTAAAATATGCATCTTAAAAGTTAAGAGATTTCTTGGCAACAATTTTAATTCCCCCAAATAATCAGCATTCTGAATATACGACAGTAACTGGTAGAATTGTATAACATATAGATGTCTTGTTGTGACCTTTTACATCTCCCTCCCCCAAATGTATCAGTAACTTTACCCTAGTTATAACTGGGGAGCTATAAATATATACATAGATATTATATATTAATATAAATACAATATATAACTTGACCAAGAACATTTCTATTTATTTAAGCACATTGAAATTAATAGGTAAGCTAAACTACAAACCTTCGTGTGAAGGGGAGGGAGAGGAGAGTACGAATTGGGAACAAATGCTAATGTGTATGGGATTCCTTTTTTGGGTGTTGAAGATGTTCTAAAATTAGAGTGTGGTGATGGTTGCACAACTCTGAGAATATACTAAAAACGACTGAACTGTATGCTTAAAATGGGTGAATGTGAAAGATATCTGAATAAAGCTGAGGAACAAAAGTCCTCCATATAAACAAGTTCATCAAGATCCTGTCTCTAACCCACAGATATATAACTATTGCTTCCCTTATTGTCCAGTTCCTATATAATTAATCCATCATTTTATTCAGTAAGGGAGCTACTAATTTTAAAGATAACAATTGAAAGTAGTATAATATCCCATCTTTGGGATTCAGTTTTGCTTAAGTCAATAGGGGTCTTAAACAATTACTACTTCACATAACTTTAATACAAACCAATCACTCCAAAGAAAACACCTCTACATAGGTTCTTATACCTGGTAATCCAAAATGCTGAATCCCAAACCTTTACAATCTTTTACTAGTTCAACAATCTTGACTTCAGGGGACCACAGTGCTAATTCCCCATCATCATCTTCTTCAGCATTGACATCCATATCGCGGTCAATCTGAAATACCAAAGAAGATAAATGCTTCAAAACACTATGCTTTCAATTCTGAAAAGAATGCATATATCAAGAATCTCACAGCTTCTTCTCAAACTGGGAATTCTCTTTGGCATGCGTAGTTTTTCTTTCTAATCTTTGCAAAAGGGCCATGCTCTGGGGCACGCACACTCCAGGATAAGATCTTCATAAAAATTCAAGCGCTTAAAAATTCAGACTGTTCATACAGTTTTTTTTTTATTAATGTAAAGAATTTATTTCATTCAAAGTATTAACACTGACCTCTTATACTTCAATGAGTTCTGTCATCCCATTAGAAGCATAAAAGGAAAAATATGCAATTTAAGTAAATGAAAACATCATACATAGTAGAAGCTTATAAGATATGTAAGTAGTGATACTTGGATTCATAATTACAGACAGAGACAAAGAAAGAGATGTCAACACAGAGATAGGCTGGAGCAGGACAGGGAAACCACTTCTGCTGGCTCCTGGAAGTTTTCAAGAAAAACTTTACTAGAAAATAAGGTGAGAAAAAAAAAATTCAAGTCTTTGGTCATCACATAAGTCTAAAATGAATAAAAATCACTGAGTTGAAATAATGAAAACCTAATCTTAGAAGAAATAGGTCAGCACAACTGCCCAGCATACAGTTCCTTTGTTACTTTTCTTGATTTTCCTCTTGAAAGTCCCTCTATTCTAGACACCCTGTCTTTTTAGGAAGAAGAGTCATTGCTATGTGGAATTCCAGGAAGTTAAATGAGAAGGTCAATGAATCTACTATGCAGAAGAAAGGCTGCTTCAAAAAACCTTCTGTTTTTATACTAATTATAGCATTGTACTGTTGTTTTCATCTGATTAACATTCCCCAAAATACTCTAAACTTCTATCTGAAGCTCAAAACTTATCTTTTATAGCCCAAGCAATGAACAAAACACCTGACTCCTAAGTTAGAATGGAAACTCTACGAGGCCTACCACAGAGTTTACCATGGTTATCAGCTCAACCGTAAAATGCCTGGCTCATAGTAGGTATAAAATAAATATTTGTTCAATACATTAAAAATTACCTATCTTTCAGTGTGTTTCTCTTGAAACTCCTTCTCAATAAAGGTACCAAGTAAATAATTTTTTAAAGTAGACTTCCTAAAACTTTAGGTAACCTCAGTAAATAAAAATGCATCATCTCTACAAACATAATTTTGAAACACCAGTTTAAGAGCATCAATTTAATTTAATCAAAAAAGGGAAGGGAAAAACCCTATATAATTAGGAAAATAGCTAGTTTAAAAATTTTATTTTATTTATGTATTTATGTATGTATTTATTCTTTCCAACATTTTGGGTTCAGGGGGTATGTATGCAGGTTTGTTACATGGGTAAATTGTGTGTCACAGGAGTCTAATGTACAGATTATTTTGTCACCCACATAATAAGCATAGTGCCTGACAGGTAGTTTTCTCATCCCCACCCTCCTTCTACCCTCTACCCTCAAGTAGGTCTCAGCATATATTCTTCTCTTCTTTGTGTCCATGTGTACTCAATGTTTAGCTCCCACTTATTAGTGAGAACATGTGGTATTTGGTTTTCTGTTTCTGCTTTAATTTGCTTAGGATAATGGCCTCTGGCTCCATTCAGGTTGTTGCAAAGAACGTGATATCATTCTTTTTTCTGACTGGATAGTATTCCGTGGTGTCTATGTACCACATTTTCTTCATCTAATCCACTGTTGATGGGCATGAGGTTGGTTCCATGTCTTTGCTATCGGGAAAAGTACCGTGATGAACATACACATGCATCTTTATGGTAAAACAACTTATATTCCTCTGGGCATATACAAAGTAATGGGACTGCTGGGTTGAATGGTAGTTCTGTTTTAAGTTCTTTGAGAAATCTCCAAAATGCTTTCCACAGTGACTGAACTAATTTACATTCCCACCAGCAGTGCTAAGTATTTCCTTTTCTCCACAACCTCTCCAGCATCTGTTATTTTTTAACTTTTTAATAATGGTCATTGTGACTGGTATGAGATGGTATCTCACTGTAGTTTTGATTTACATTTCTCTAATGATCAGTGATATTAAGCATTTTTTCATACAGTGGTTGGCCGCACATATGTCTTCTTTTGAGAAGTGTCTGTGGTGTCCTTTGCCCATTTTTTAAAGGGGCTGTCTGTTTTTTCTTGCTGTTTTAAGTTATTTCTAGATTCTGGATATTAGATCTTTGTCAGATGCATAGTTTACAAATATTTTCTTTCAGTCTGTAGGTTGCCCGTTTACTCTGTTGATAGTTTCTTTTGCTGTGCAAAAGCTCTAGTTTAATTAAGTGCCACTTGTCAATTTTTGTTTTTGTTGCAATTGCTTTTGGAATCTTCATCATGAAATCTTTGCCAAGGCCAATATCCACAATGGTAGTTCCTAGGTTTTCTTCTAGGGTTTTCATAGTTTTAGGTTTTACATTTAAGTCTTTAATCCATGTTGAGTTGATTTTTGTATATGGTAAAAGGAAGGGGTCCAGTTTCAATCTTCTGCATATGGGTAACCAGTTTTCCCAGCAACATTTTCCAAATAGGAATTCCATTCCCCATTGCTTGTTATTGTCGGCTTTGTTAAACAGCAGATGATTGTAGATGTGCACCTTTATTTCTAGGTTCTCTAACCTGTTCCATTGATCTCTGTGTCTATTTTTGTACCAGTACCATGCTGTTTTGGTTACTATAGGCTTGTAGTATAGTTTGAAGTTGGGTAGTGTGATACTCTGGCTTTGTTGTTTTTGCTTACGACTGCTTTGGCTATTTGGGCTCTTTTTTGGTTCCAAAAAAATTTTCTAAAAATTTCCTTAAAATTTAGAAAAATTTTAGAATAGTTGTTTTCTAATTCTGTGAAAAAAGTCACAGAAATAGCACTGAATCTACAAATTGCTTTGGGCAGTATGGCCATTTTAACACTATAGATTCTTCCTATCCATGAGGATGGTATGTTTTTCTATTTGCATCATCTCTGATTTCTATCAGCAGTGTTTTATAATTCTCATTGTAGATATCTTTCACCTCCCTGGTTAGCTGTATTCCTGTTATCTTGTTCTTTTTGTGGTTATTGTGAATGGGACTGAGTTCCTAATTTGGTTCTCAGCTTGGATGTTACTGGTGTAAAGAAATGTTACTGATTTCTGTACAGTGATATTGTATCCTGAAACTTTGCTGAAGTTGTTTATCAGATTTAGGAGGCTTTGGGCAAGAGACTATGGGGTAGAAAAACATTTTTAAAATTAGGATTGGTCCAGATCTTAAACTGTCACTGCAGGACACAGGTGGTCAATAAGTGATCCACAGTGGACTGAACCTAAACATGGGAACAATATGAAGCTGAAAACTTGAAATGAGTGGAAACTTTACGGATCAATAACCTCTGCATATTTCAGTCTGATGTGTGGAAGTGATATACTTAAAAAGAAAACACTTATATCTTCCAACAAAAAGTAAAGTTCCATTGGCTAATACAACATGATTGATGTTTTACTAGGGCATTTAATACCCTCACTGATTAATGAGTATTAGAATTTTGGCTGAGCTGCCTAACCAGATAGGGTTTAAGAATATACGATGGTATTAGGAGAAATGAAAAAAGAGACAGATGAAAAAAGAGCCAAGATTTTAAGAAACCACATACAATTACAAAACCTGTGTTTATAGAAATTTCAAGGCATTCAAGGTACATAAGATATTATACTACAACCTGAAATATATCACTTTGATACAATCAATTCTGCATAACTCCTGTATTTACAGAATGGAAAGCAATCAACTAATGGGCAGCAAGGTTGACATTTAGCATAATTCAAAGCTGTTGTTCACCATTGTGGTAAAGCATGACAGACAGGGGCAGAGAGTCAGCAAGTGGGATTTGTGATTTACACACCTTGCAAGATTAGATTAAAGGCATTGTTATCAGCCTTCAGAGGGAACCCACCACCCACATTTCATTTTGGTAAGGATAGCAAGTCACAAAAGTGTGGCATTTGAGTACCCTCCTTGAAACAGTTTTTATAAAAGTTAAACATTTTTTTAAAAAAGAGTCAACCAATAATCAAAAATTTACCAAGCCCCTCTTATATACCTAAGATACACTAAAAACACTATGAATGGAAAATAATTTTAAGTTATGGCCTTTGCCCACTGTGAGCTGACAGTCTTCTTGGATAAACAAGATTAACACATACTAAAGTATCTATAAGACAGTGCTAGATTCTTATGTACTTCAGGACATAATAAAACAAAAATGGATGGACTGGCAAAGACTCAAACAACCATAGCCGACTGTTACTGAGCACTTTCCACGTGCAAGGCATTATGTTAAGAACTTGCTCACATGACCGCATTTCCTTCTTGCACAAACTCATGAGATGGGTAAGTATGATAAGTATCACCGTTTTTCAAAGGAAAAATATGAACAGAAAGTCATTTGTCCAAAGATTCACAATTATTAGGTAGTAGGGGCAGGATTAGTTTCACGTGTACTGAAATCCAGAACTTAAAAGGCCCCATGAATGTAAACTGGTGTTTAGTGGAATTATAATCTAAAAGAGATTGAAAAGGGGGGAAAGCAGCATAAAAGATGAGGTTACAAATAGCATAAGATGGCAAAGCATGTACTCAAAACTCTTCTGCTGGGTACAGTGGCTCACACCTGTAATCCCAGCACTTCGTGAGGTTGAGGTGGGAGGATTGCTTGAGTCCAGGAGTTTGAGACCACCCTGGGAAATATGGCAAGACCCTGACTGTAGGAAAAAAAATTTTTAGTTAGCTGGGTGTGCTGGCATGTGCCTGTGGTCCCAGCTACTTGGGAGGCTGAGGCAGGAGGACTGCTTGAGCCCAGAAGGTCAAGGCTACAGTGAGTCATATTCAAAACACTACGCTCCAGCCTGGGGAGATCCCGTTTTAAAAACAAAACAAAACAAAACTCTTTTCATAATCATAATGCTCTTTAAAAAAAAAAAAAAAAAAAAGAGTACCAAGAGCATATAAAGTGTTATTCCACTCTCTGGTCTTCTGAAGGGTTTTATAGCAATTTCCAGACTCACTTTGAAATGTATCATACAGTGTCTTTTTTTTTTTTTTTGAGACAGAGTTTCGCTCTTGTTGCCCAGGCTGGAGTGCAATGGTGAGATCTCGGCTCACTGCAACCTCCTCCTCCCGGGTTCAAGTGATTCTCCTGCCTCAGCCTCTTAAGTAGCTGAGATTACAGGTATGCGCCACCATGCCCAGCTAATTTTTTGTACTTTTAGTAGAGACGAGGTTTTTCCATATTGCTGGTCAGGCTGGTCTCCAACTCCCAACCTCAGGTGATCCGCCTGCCTTGGCCTCCCAAAGTGCTGGGATTACAGGTGGGAGCCACCGTGCCTGGCTGAGTTTCATATTTTTAAGGCTCTGAAAAAGGGAAGTACATTAGATATGCAACACTCACAAACACCTTAACCTTATATAAGACAAACTGAGTTGAACTGGAAGCCAAAAGTAATGAATCCAGGCAATTACTAAAAAAAAGATTCTCTAAAATCAAAATGCATGTACATCAATGTTGCCAACATGTCAAGGAAAGGGAAGGAAAGAATTTTTTGATGTTAAATGAAGAGTAACAATTTGAAAAGCTATGCATTGCTGCCTTAGTCAAGTAAAAAAAGAGCAGAGTGGAATGGTTTCCCCTCTCTTCATATTGCAGTACAGTCTTCGGGGCATCTTTGATGAATGGGTATGCCTATGGGAACCGCACTATATTCATTTAGTACCTCCATCTCAGGAAGAGAGGTTTCAGTGTGCCTTGGTTCATCTACAGAAGCCTCATCATCAAACAACCTCCGACAGCAAACCAAAGTAAAAGGGGGTGGCACTTCTTTAAGAAAGGAGACTGCTTCTCGGCGAGATTTTCCATAGAGCTGTGTGCCATTGACCTAGGAAGACAAGGGGATAAGTCAGAAGTGAGGTAGCCCCAAATGAAAAAACAAAAATCTCTTATTTATATCAATCTACCAAATGAAAATAGGACACCATTTTATTTTCCCTGTAAACAAGGGGACTCACTTTAATCATATTATGATAAAATAATACGCAAATAAAAATGTTAGAAATCCTTAAAATTTTTAAAATCTAAGGCTAAATCTTTGTATGTCTTGATGGATAAAATATAAAATGCATGCAGAGTATGCCCATACTGGGTAAGGATCTACCTAATTTTTTGCAGCACTGTGGTTTCTCCTTTCAATATTCCAATGTCGTATTCTCTCATCTACCTCTACTCAGCTCTCCTTAAATACACTAAGTATCATTTACAACCCTTTAAGACTGTTTCCCTTTGTATTTTCATTTTATAAGAATACCATTACAGAAATTTAAGGATGTTAAAAAAAAACTGTTTTATTTACTACTTAAAGTATAGCTAATAAGTCTAGAATACTTGACTGTCAAAATTTAACATCAGTCCACAATATTCTTTCACATCTCATACACTCTTAATACCATCCTAGAAAAATAACTTCTATTGAAAAGAAATATACATAACTTTGCATCAGTTACATTCTTATATGCTCTGCTATACAGCAATCAAGTATGCATAGAAAATACTAAAATAATTTTTAAAATAATTTTATTCAAGTGTCTCATATTGTTTAAAAGAAAAAGGTATTCTTTATTAATGATTAATCCTTGTCACCAAAAAATTATCTAAATTTCATATTACTTTTGGCGCATAATAATAATACTTGGCACCAAAGATGATTTGGCTACATAATTCTAATTTTTCATATATATGACTTGAGCTCAAAGGGTCCTGTCAGTTCTAACTATAGGTCTCTAAAAGCTGATCTGTCTGCTACTCCCAAAAAGCTGAAGCATGAACAGAATCCAGACAACAAATAATCTTTTCGCATCTGACTCCTACCCTCCTGGGAGGGCTGAGAAGCATTATTTGCTTTAAAGATATTTCTAGTCTGGCATTAATTTCTAATAGGTGCCGTGCTAATGTTCAGATAACTGGCCAGCCTGACTTTACTGGGAGAAGTCCTTCTACAAGTCTGTCACTGCACCAGAGAGGAAGCGGACACTGGGTTGCTGGAAACCTTCAGCAGTGGGCTGAGTCTCACGTCAACCATCCCTGGGAACCACTCTCAAGCCTGTAACATATCAAGCACTTAGCCGTCAAGTCAGACATATCTCCCTGCCTCTTAATTATTTACAAAGAAACCACCACATGGTAAAGAGACCCACGTGCACTTTAGGAAGCTAGCTCTACTGGAAAGTCTTCAGGACAAATGAAGAGGTGTAAGGGGACAGCAAGCTCAGCAGCTGATGAAAGGTTTTTCCTTGGAATAACTGCAAGTCAACCTTTACACAAGAAGAGGCAGGGAGGTACCCATCACTGGTCACACTGTATCCATGATTTCAACTGGTGTCACAAGTGCACAAAGTTCTAAAATCAACTAAGTGGGTAGTAACTTATACTAAAAAAAAGCAAGGAGATAGAATCAGATCAGGAATTCTATCCATACATGAGTATGAGTTTGTGTTTCACTTCAACAAATTAGAAAGTCACTTTTCAGGTTTTTATCTTGGAGTACCTTTAAATATTTATTTATCTCATTACTTATTCATTTGAATTGTCTCCAATTATTATACCAGTGCCTGGTAGTCCTCCTCACTGCTCTGTTGCTAAAGGGATTGGTCACATTTCCCATTACCAACTCCTATCTAAGGGGATTTATAGCTGCTGTAAATAGCTGTTCTGGGATGAAACTTGGCACAGTGTTCTAACCCCAAAGCATATTTGTGTTTATGGTTTTAAGTTCTAAGGAGTACATTAAACACACAAACACACACACACACACACACACACAAACATACACACACACTCCACACTTTGAGTTCAGGAGTTTATCTGGCTAACTATACTGAGATTTTTAAATTTTGTATTTTTGGTTATTCAGAAGAAGCTAATTTTTATTTTAGAATTCACAGTATTTCTCAAGGTCCATCAACTTGAGAGCCTCCTAGGTGCTATCAAATCTCGATTATCCCAAGGTTTTGACTGGAAAATGCACACACACATACACACTTCCAGAGTACAGAACATTGCACAAGGGCAGCCCCACTATTTTACCACATCCAACCATCATCCCAGCCCATAAAGCTTGTTAATATGCCTTTTTCACAGTGATGATATTGCCAATACCCTGCAATGAGATAATGCTTTATAATTTACATGGATGGTATTTCATTAGATCCTTATAAGCTCATAGTGAAGTGGGCATTTATTGATGAAGGAACTGATCCTCGACAAAGTTAAGTGACATGCCAAGGGACACATGCTAACCTGTGTCTATTCAGACAGCAAGTAGCTTTTCTGAATCCAAATCTGTGCTTCTTTCCTTATCTCAAGCTCTTTCACCAGGTATCTATATTTAAGAACTCAAAAAATCTTCACACTACCTTATTATAGCACGTTCTTCTACAAGGTGGTAGGCCCATGGGATCCTAGTCTTGGCTAAAGCATACAGAATCCAGGATGGCTGGGATCACCTATACTTGCTCTACTGTGATCCAGCCAACATTTCTTTAGCACCTACCACATACTAGTAGTGATTTATACTTAATACCACCAAATTTCACACTTAAAAATGGTTAAAACAGGCAAGGCGTAGTGGCTCATGACTGTAATTCCAGTACTTTGGGAGGCCGAGGTAGAAGAATTGCTTGAGGCCAGGAGTTCAAGACCAGCATGGGCAAAATAGCCAGACACTGTCTCTACAAAATAACTAAAAAAATTAGTTGGGCATGGTGGCGCACAGCTATGGTCCTAGCTACTCGGGAGGTTGAGGTGGGAAGATTGCTTGAGCCCAGGAGTTTGATGCTGAAGTAAGCTATGACCACACCACCGTACTCCAGCCCAGGCAACAAAGTGAGACTCTGACTCTAAAAGAAAAAAAAAGAAAAAGGGTTAAAATGGTAAATTTCATGTTACATATATTTTGCCACCAAAAAAAAAGTGGACCAAGTGCAGTGGCTCACACACGTAATCTCAGCATTTCGGGAGACTGAGGTGGGTGGATTGTTTGAGTCCAGGGGTTCGAGACCAGCTTGGGCAACATAGCCAGCCCCTCAAAAAAAAAAAAAAAAAAAAAGTGAATTAAATTGGTTATACTCATACCTCCACTTCTCCCAAACAAATGTATCTCATTTTCAACACCTAATAACTACATACTACAGCAATAGTCTCTAATCTATAAATTATCATGTATGATATCCACAAATATATGACCGTGCCCAGCCAATAAGAAGAGGAAGACCAAAAAGAAAGCATAATTATTCTAACAAAATGTAGGGCATTAATCTGCAGTAAGAAGCCCAATACCATTCCCTTGAATACCTCTAAAAATAAGCAACTTACTACATCTTAAAACAGGACTCCAATACCCTACCCTCCCATATTTATGACACTGGCATTGGTGACACTATAACTCAGGTGATTTGTGATGAGAACACATTTTTCTAAAACTTAAAAATTCCTGCCTGTGTCTTTCTTTCCCCGTAAATTTTACCTCAAGCAGCTCATCTTCTGGCTGTAGGAGACCCAATGTATCAACAGGACCACCAGAAACAATTGAAGAAATATAATGGTGCCCATCAAAGGAATCCACTTCCACACCAAGCCTCAGAGTGTGAATAGGCAGCAGCTGTAGCAAAACACAAAGCAATGATCAAACATGACAACGACACATCCGGCTATTCATCCTCCATCCACTGCAATTGTGAAGTGAAAAACCCCACCTCTTGAATCAGATCACCAAAATCCTAAAAGAGGACAATAATGGGAAAATTAGCTTCAGGTAAAATATGAAGTCATGGGTCATCTTGTTCTCACTCCTCTTTTCCTTCCAGATTCCCTGGAAATGAAGAGATGGACGTATATAGTCTTACTTTCCATTCTAAGCTCCAGGCAGTCCACACTTTTGGTAGTCCTCAGTATATATGCTGTGTTTCACTTTTCTATGGGACTCCCCATCCCCCAGAACATCCTAACTTTCCTTTATTATCTAATTAACTTCTTCTCACACTTAAATGCCACGGCAGGAAGCCCTGAGTTCATGCGCCTCCATCTGGGGTTCAAGACCACTCTGTGCATAAATCCATCACAGCTCACAACATACTAGGCTTAGAATTTGGTTTTTGTTCGTTTTTTGGTTTTGTTTTGTTTTTGAGACAGAGTCTCGCTCTGTTGCCTAGGCTGGAGTGCAGAAGTACAGTGGTACAATCTCAGCTCACTGTAACCTCTGCCTCTTGGGTTCAAGCACTTCTCATGCCTCAGCTTCCCAAGTAGCTGGGACTAGAGGCATGCACCACTACGTTCAGCTAATTTTTTTGTATTTTCAGTAGAGATGAGGTTTCACCACATTGAGAATTCCTAGTTTCTTGATTGTCCCTCCTCCACTCCTTACCCGAATGCAGAGTCTATACCTTTAATCGCCATAACCTCAGCCCTGGAACAGTACCTGGCACTAAATATGGACTCGTTAAATGTTATTTGAACCAATCCATGAAAAATAGTGCCTCATTTAAGATGTCCTTTTCCATCTAGCCAACTTAAGTGAAAACATTTCCGATTTGGGAAAGGCAATCGTTTATCCATTCTAAGTCTATGAGGATTCATATGGGCTAAGATACAAGTCAAGGGCTGAGAAACTCTAGCCAGTGTCGAGTAAAGAGATGAGTGTCTTAGTTGCACTCATCTTTATTGGTCGTCACAATCAAGGGCATTCACCAAACTCCATTCCCCTGACTTTCAAAGACAGACTAATGATTTCTCGTCGTGGCCTTATAATCTGAAATATGGTAAATGGTACTCATGATGATTGACATTTCCTGTATCAACAGTCTGATACCTAAAAATACCAGACCTACCTCGAACTATACTTTATAAGGAGAAAACCCTACACAGGGTGGCAGTGCATCCACAATGTGGCTCTTTTCCTCTTCTCTGTGATCCTCTATTCCTGAGCTTGCCACCTCCCTCAGTCTTCTGCTTTCAGTCCCCAGAGTGCCACAGGCCTTCCTTCAGACAACATTTGAGGCTCACTTCTGTCTCACTATAGACATGCAGACAAATGTGAAGTGGCAAGGAGTCTGGCAGACTAAGACCTCAACACAGGCATAAGGGACTGCTAGCCCTGGGATAATTTCCTGAAAATTAAGTGCTCCTGACCACTAAGCACTTCAGGATCTCTGGCAAGAAGATGTTCTAGTTCTCTAAATGAAAGGTTAAGATAGTTTTTCTGGCCGGGCGCGATGACTCATGCCTGTAATCCCAGCACTTTGGGAGGCCAAGGCGGGTGGATCACGAGGTCAGAAGATTGAGACCATCCTGGCTAACACGGTGAAACCCCATCTCTACTAAAAATACAAAAAATTAGCCGGGCGTGGTGGCGGACGCCTGTAGTCCCAGCTACTCAGGAGGCTGAGGCAGGAGAATGGCTTGAACCCGGGAGGCAGAGCTTGCAGTGAGCCGAGATCGCGTCACTGCACTCCAGCCTGGGCGACAGAGTAAGACTCCATCTCAAAAAAAAAAAAAAGCATCAAAAAGCATGACATGCAGTGTGTGTGAAGGCAGCAATCATCTGTTTCACCCACTCTCTCATTTCAGCACTTTCTGTGCTTCCTCTCTGTGCTTTCTTTCTTCTCACTGCTGCCACTTCATTCTCTTGTCATTGTACCAAATAATGGGTATGGATACACTAAGGAGATATTAGTGTCATGTGGCAGGACATGAAAGAAGGTAAGGAAAAGCTCTCAGAAAAATGTTTCTGTATTAACAGTTTACCTCCCATCTCTGCCAGCTGTCTTCCTTCCTTATTTATGAGCCAGATGCTACAGGGCAGAGAGTTGCCAGTGGATCCACCACAGCTCATCCCCAGTGTGGTGCTGGGGCTTATACTGGCTTGAGAGTAGACTGTTAAATTTTCAGTGATTTTGCAAGCTAGTTGTCAAACACAGCTATTATTTAAAATTAAACCACATAAAGTTACAATTAATAAAAATAAATGTAGGCAAGGCGTGGTAGCTCACACCTTTAATCCTAACACTTTGGGAGGCCAAGGTGGGCAGATCACCTGAGGTCGGGAGTTTGAGACCAGCCTGACCAACATGGAGAAACCCCATCTCTACTAAAAGTACAAAACTTAGCTGAGTGGGTGTAATCTCAGCTATTCGGGAGGCTGAGGCAGGAGAATCGCTTGAGGCCGGGGGGCAGAGGTTGCAGTGAGCTGAGACTGAGCCATTGCACTCTAGCCTGCACAACAAGACTGAAACTCCATCTCTAAATAAATAAATAGGCCAGGCACAGTGGCTCATGCCTGTAATCCCAGCACTTTGGGAGGCCGATGTGGGTGGACTGCCTGAGGTCAGGAGTTCAAGACCAGCCTAGCCCAACATGGTGAAACCCTGTCTCTACTAAAAATATAAAAATTGCCTGAGCATGGTGGGGCACACCTGTAATCCCAGCTACTTGGGAGGCTGAAGCAGGAGAATCCCTCAAGCCTGGGAGGCGGAGGTCGCAGTGAGCCAACATTGTGCCACTGCACTCCAGCCTGAGCGACAGAGAGAGACTCCATTTCAAAAAATAAATTAACTAATTAAATACAGTAACATAAAAAAAAAATGTAACAAGTACTCAAAATCCAACACGTCCTAATTATTTTTCACTCTTTTACTAATATCTAGGTTCATGAAGTGATTTATATCTACTATACCTGTACAGAGAGGAACACTCTCTATCAGAACTCGAAGAATACTGAGGGGTGGACAACTGAAAGAGATATATGAAATGCCTGATTTGGTTAGCTGCTAAATGCAGGTGGGACAAGTAATTAGACAGCCCTACTCCTGCAGAGAAGCCTGCAGCAATGAAGCGCTACTGTGCATTGCCTCTCGACTCACTGATCAGTAACACCATTTTGGTAGCTTCATATCTGCCATGGTGGGAGTATTTACACCACAGATATTGGTACACACTACAAATTGGAGCTGCCTTCCCACCCCCCATCCCTACCTAGAAACTTACCACTGATCTATGATATAGTTTGGACATGATATCCAGCATATATGTACAGGGTATAAACTATGTGCAAGGCATTGGGCTATGAACTGGAAGTATAGGATGAAGTCTTTGCCCTCCTAGAACTAATATCTAGCATGGCAGACAGATAATAAATAGGCAAAAAGGTAAGTAGACAAAGCAAATACATAAATAAACAACCAATCAACAAGCAGCAGGATTATCACAGTTCTGGTAAGACAAGCAAAGAATATAAGGAAATGCATCCAAGGAACGTGTGACCATTGTGTGGAAAACAAGCAGTTACTAATTGTGTTAAGTGCCACAAGGAAGGAATGGGGTCATGACATCAGAGCCCCACTAGTGGAGGCCATTTTGGAAAGTTGGTCAAAGCAGGCTCCAAATTGAAGGGGACACTTAAGGTGAGACTTGAGGGATAACAGTGAGTCAGCCCTACAAAAAAGCCTACTGGGGGATGGCTGTGGGAGGTGAGCAAAAAGGATAATTGCTAAATTTCTGGTTTGAGCAAATGAGTAAATGGTGGTAACAACTTCTGCATAGAAATAAGTGCCCAAATTAAAACAAAGATCCCACTGTACACACAGAGATCTTTGCTACTTACATAATGATATGCCCTCATACAAGATAAAAGGGTTAAGGCAAGAACTGGTTCCAATCCTCTCCCAGTCCGCATCTATTCATATGATGACCTCCATGGAACGGTTGGAGTCAGGATTCGCAGAGGCTCACCCATGTCATCCCGTGCCCTCCAGACACGGGCTGTGCCTTCTAGGCTATTCCCCCAGGTATCTGTAAACACCACATGCTCCCTAGAAAACTTAAATGGTGAACGAAACATGCTCTATCTTCAATTAGGCTGAACAAATAAACCAGAAATGATGTTTACAAAATCTGTCAATCGGAAGGATGCCTATCTAATATTAGTTCTGAATCTAAATCTGAGTACAGCTGGGTTTCTAAGATTTCATGTTACATTGCTGCAGGCTTCTCTGAGGGAGCAGGACTGTTTAATTACCTGTCCCAGCTGCATTTAGCAACTAAACAAATCAAGCATTTCATCTGATTTGTCCACCTCTTTCAGTATGCGGAGTTCTTAGCAGAAAGTGCTGAAATGACAGAGTGGGTGAAACAGATGATTGGTGCCTTCACACACACTGCATGTCATGCTTTTTGATGCTTACTCAATGTGCTTTGTGAGGCGTTCTATTTAAACTGACAAAGTTAAGGAGCAACAGGATTTTCACGATCCTGATATAAGTAAAGGATACAAGGAAATGCATTCAAGGGAAGTGTGGCCATTGTGTGCTTTACTGTCAGTACAAAAATGAAGATCAAATGAGATTAAGAAGGCTTGAGGCCTTCTACCCACAAGTAGCGAGACCTATCATGAAACAAACTACAGCCATTCATTTTGCTTGAAGCTTTACTTTTAGGATATTAAAACAGGATATCAAAATGCTTAAGTGGGAATATAAATGATATTGCTTCAGGGGGAAAAGCAACTTCTGGAAAGGAATGCTTCAAAAAGGTGTCAGTGGGATGGGGAAGGATTTTCCAAAAATGTTAAACTCGACAGAAAATAAAACAGAAAGAATCCATGATTGGTTCTTGTAACTCCCATACACAAAGTATTAAATAGCCATTTATGTTTAAAAATTAGGTCGTTACTAAATTTACCATAAATAAAAAACAAACTTTTCAAGAATGAGGCTACAAGTTTTAAAGTAATGGAAAACCACAAGCATGATGGCCTCCCTCAGAGGTTATACAAGACAATCGATCCATTAGAGCTTCATTTATGTTTGTTTTTCTCACCCCTCCAAAATTTTATTTTATTTTATTTTATTTATTTATTTATTTATTTTGAGACAGAGTCTCACTCTTGTTGCCCAGGCTGGAGTGCAATGGTGTCATCTCGGCTCACTGCAACCTCTGCCTCTCAAGTTCAAGTGATTCTGCCTTAACCTCCCCAGCAGCTGGGATTACAGGTACACACCACCATGCCTGGCTGATTTTTGTATATTTAGTAGAGATGTGGTTTCATCATGTTGGTCAGGCTGGTCTCGAACCCCTGACATCAGGTGATCCACCCACCTCAGCCTCCCAAAGTGCTGGGATTACAGGCGTGAGCCACCGCTCCTGGTCCCCTCCAAAATTTTAATTCAGAATGTTCAAAAAATGTGTAACAGGTACCCTGTTGTACAGCAGTAAACTGAAAGTTCTCTTCAGTCACCTAATACCAAGGTCAAACATCAGTTGCTATTTAGCATTTTAGATATAATTTATGTTTCCTGCCTGGCCCATGTGATATATCTGAATTTTTGATACTTGAACTAACACTTTGCACTTGGTTTTCTCCCCCTACCTATGTTCACGATAGTACTTTCACCTGAAATACCCATTGTACTCATTTGTACTCCAAATCTATTCTTCAGAGTATAGTTCAAATGCCATCCTACCAATAAGCCTCCATCTGTCTTGAGGAAGTAATATCCTTCTAGAACACACATGAGGCATTTTAGCAATATCTGAATAATAATTCTCTATAGAGTGAGGCAAGAAAGGAATCAAAATTCTCTTTAGGAACCTCACCCCAAACCTACAGAATCAGAGTATCAGCAAGGAGGAACTTAAAATAGGGCATACATATTTTGAAAAAGCTCCTCTGATGTTTCTGATATGCCACCTGCACTACTAGGTAACCACTGCTACTATAGTTATTTGATTCTGTGTCTTACGTTCTCCACTTAAAAAGAGAGCAGCAAAGTATAAAATTACATCCTTGAGAACTGATAACAGCATTGCTCCTGTGAATGAGAGGACTGGGGTGGGAGAAAAAATTACCTTTTGCAGTACATATTTCTATACCTTTTAAATTGTATGTCTTGCCCATATATTATCTATTTAAAATTTAAAAGAAGAAAAAGAATGATGCAAGCTTAGAAGCCAGATAACCCTTGATTTGTTTCCTTTTTTGAAACTTTTTAAATAAATTTATTTTTTAATAGTTCCGGAATGCTTCATGAATTTGTGCGTCATTGTCGCGCAGGGGCCATGCTAATCTTCTCTGTATCGTTCCAATTTTAGTATTTGTGCTGCCTAAGCGAGCACTCAATTTGTTTCCTAATTCCACCCCCTTACTAGCTGCATATGATCTTGGGCAAGTGACTTTACCTGCCTGACAGTCAAGTTTCCCATATTAAAAATGGGAAGGGGAAAATGCTTGCTGACCAATAAGGTTACTATTAGAAATACAGGGGAAAATATATTTAAAGCAAAGAACCGGCCCTGGTAACTGAACAGTAACATCCACTATAACTCTTGGAAAGCCCAGTACATCCCACTTGCCTTAAAAACTCTATTTGTTCATTATAAAGTGGTTAGGGAGAAACCATACTTTAATGTTCTCTGGGTCAGGACATATAACTCAAGAGAGAAATAAAGTGAAATTTGTCCATCCGTTTTGTCAAAACCAGAGAGCAGGACCTGGTGTTTTTGTTTCCCACACAAGCAATATTACTGATGCTTACTTCATATTACAATTGATGGCCAGCAGAAAGGTCACTAGAATGAGCTTAATGCTTCTCCCTCATAAAGCTGTGATTATCTTAATAGTAAGCACTTGCCAAGAAAGCCGTCCCTAAAAGTGCAAGTCTCCCTAGATGCGGGAAAACTGTTCTTGTGTCATGATTAACAGCTTCCTAGAAGCAGTGCAGCTAATGCTTAAGTCACTGTAAATAGCTTTCACCTCCCTCTTTCTCCACAACTCCACCCACCTCAGAAGAAAATCTTATCTGTTAACATTAGCCCATAATATATGAAGATGCTTCTTTTTTAAAAAATAGAGACAGGATCTCCTCTCCCTCTGTTGACCAGATTGGTCTCAAACTCCTGGCCTCGAGATCCTCCTGCCTCAGCCTCCCAAAGTGCTGGGATGATATGCATAAACTACGCCGCTCAGTCATATAGATGCTTCTGGAATCATCCCTTCAAGATTGGTGGCCATGGCATGGCAACCATCTAAAAGCAGCTAGACCCATAGAAACATAATTGTTCTAATCAGAAAGCTGATGAGACAGGGGAAAACTTCCAGCCTGGACCTCAGATCATAGAAAAAACCCTGCTCAAAACTTCCCACTGGTGTTACCTGTCACTGAGGACAAAGTCCATACATATCACCGTGGCTCCCAAGGGGCCCTTTAATACCTAGTCTTCCTCTCCAGCATCATTTAACAATATTCTGCTCTTCACTGAGTTTGACCCAGACACTGAAAGAAACAACTTCTATTCCCCCAACATGCGAGCCCTTTCCCACAGCAGAGCGACTGGACCTGCTGCTCCTCTTTTCCACATTCTTATCCTTCAAGCCTGAGCTCAGAAAAGCTTTCCCTGGCTCGCTCTAAAGTGTCCCCCACCCCAGTTACGCTCAATTTACTGTTTATTCATTTGCAGCACTTCTTACAATCTACAACTATCTTATTAAGTTATTTTTTACTTGTCTATTACCATGCCCCTATACAATTGCAAAATCTAAGCTCTATGAGAGCAAGGATGTTTTCCATTTTGCTTCCCACAGATGGTAGCAGAGTGTCTGGCATAGAGTAGGAGCTCAGTAAATAGTTCAGGAATGGATGAATGCACTCCAAGCTACAACCTGCCTCCGCTACGATCTAGTGGTATAATTTCAGTCAAGTCATTCAACCTAGGCAACCTTTACTATCCTCTCGTCTGTAAAATCGGTTTTGACTGGTTAGTTAAAATCTCCCTTACATATTGTAGAGGGAAATTAGTAGCTACTGAATTAAGATGCAAATCTCCAATTATAAGAAGATTCTTAAAAATCATAGCTGATCAAAATGAAGAAAAATTCTGTGGACATTTAATAACTAAAATTAATGTAGAAAAATGTAAAAACATATGATGTTACATGGAAAAACTACACACCCCTTCTATCTCACATACACACGTGCACATGTGTATGCACACGCGCGCGCGCACACACACACACACACACTAAACAAAAGGCAGGTAATACTGACTGCAAATATATAAATATGTAGCTAACAACTAAATATGTAAAGAGAACAATGCGGCCGGGCACGGTGGCTCATGCCTGTAATCCCAGCACTTTGGGAGGCCAAGGTGGGTGGATTACCTGAGGTTGGGAGTTCAAGACCAGCCTGGCCAACATGGTGAAACCCCATCTCTACAAAAATACAAAAATTAGCTGAGTGTGATAGCAGGTTCCTGTAATCCCAGCTACTTGGGAGGCTGAGGCTGAAACATTGTTTGAACCGGGGAGGCAGAGGTAGCAGTAAGCCGAGATGGTGCCATTGCACTCCAACCTGGCAACAGAGCAAGACTGCATCTCAAAAAAAAAAAAAAAAAGGAACAGAATAATGTAATTTTGGGTGACTTTTTTTCTTTCAGTGAAGAAAATAGGGAAACAAGAAAAGCAACTTTTTGCCACAACAAAATTTTACTTAATTAAATGTTTTAAAAAGCATATTAAAAGAAAAAGGCCTTTGAATGTTCAGTCTAAAAGTGCTAGAGGCATATAACTGGGAAACAAAACTACCGTTTATTGGACATTTCTTATATCTTGGCACTAAGCTATATTAAGGCATATATGAAATATTATTTCTATTTAGTCTTCTACAAAACAATTATTATTGTTCATATTATTTAGAGAAAAAATGAGGCCAGTTATTTACCTCCAAAAGCATTTCATCAAATGTTACTTTCTTAAGCCTTCCCTGACCAACCTATCTAAATTTGCAGACAAACCCCCACTCCTGAATTTCCTATGTTCCCTGCCTTAATACTCTCCGTGGTACATATCACTTATATGGCACAACTTACTTATTTTTGGCCTCCTCCCATGAAAATATAAGTTCTATAGGACAGGAATTTTTCTTCCTGCTTTGTTCTCTTCTGGAACCCTAGGACCCAGTAGCAGACCTAGCACAGAGTACATATAATATTTATTTGATGAATGAATGAACAGCCAAATGCACTAGTGAGTTTTTTAAGGTGGTTCTGAAAGTATGTTCAACTCAAAGCCCTTCTGCCCATTTATATCAGTTACCGAGTACAAATATATATATATGTTTATATGTGTGTGTGTGTGTATATATATGTACATTCCATAGAGGTTGATCAGGAAAGACGACACAGTAAGAGTGGAGGCAGAGAACTAAGGGGTGAGAGTGAGAAAGAACATCTTCTGCCTAGAGAAAGAGAATCACACTGTTTAAAAATGTACACAAAGTGTGCTTTGTGCCTTTTTTCCTTGCTGTCTTTTACTTATTATAAAACATTATAAAACATGATGATTCAGGGTCTTAGGCTTTAATGTGGGAGAACAGACAAGTAAAGCTGAACCACGTGATAAACAGAGCCTGATCAGGGCAGGACTTCCCTACAAGGACATATCCTGAGTTCTAAAACAATATGGCACAGGAGGCTGAAAAGCTAATCAGGAAAACTTGGAAAAGTAAAGCAAGTATTTCAGCAGCCCACACTACTAAGGAGAGAAGATTCGAGTTCAGTTTCCACCAGGATAAGAGGACTGGTAAACACCCCAGGGTCTTTCGTGGATTACGCGGGAGGCTGTGTCTTTTTTTTTTTTTTTTTAAGACAGAATCTCGTTCCATTGCCTAGGCTGGAGTGCAGTAGCACAATCTCGGCTCGCTGCGGCCTCCGCCTCCCAGGTTCAAGTGATTCTCCTGCCTCAGCCTCCCAAGTAGCTGGGATTACAGGCACGCACCACCATGCCTGGCTAATTTTTGTATTTGTAGGAGAGACGAGGTTTTACCATGTTGCCCAGGCTGGTCTTGTACTCCTGACCTCAGGTGATCTTCCTGCCTCAGCCTCCCAAAATGCCAGGATTACAGGCGTGAGCCACTGTGCCTGGCCAAGGCTGTGTCTTAAAAGTGAAGCAAATCAGAGGTAGTCTGAATCTTACCAGAACTGTACCTCTTCCCCATCTCTAAAATGAGCACCCACCAGTATCACCACACTCTCTCTCTCTCTCTCTCTCTCTCTGTCTCTCTCTTCCCTCCCCTCCCTCTGTCAACACATTAGCAGGCTAATGATATCATCTGAAGCCTTTTATAGTTGTCAGACATTTAATCAAATTTTGGCATGACAAGAGATATACCCAAACAAAAAGACAAAACATCAAACGACAGAAACAGATCCAAAGTTAATCCAGATATTGGTATTACTTAAAGTCTTTATAAGCTATGGTTAACACGCTGAAGAATTAGAGGAAAAGATGGCAAATACAGGAACAGATGAAAAATATAGATTTTTTTTTTTTTTTTGAGACGGAGTCTCGCTCTGTCGCCCAGTCTGGAGTGCAGTGGCGCAATCTCGGCTCACTGCAAGCTCCACCTCCCAGGTTCACACCATTCTTCTGCCTCAGCCTCCCGAGTAGCTGCGACTACAGGTGCCCGCCACCACGCCCGGCTAATTTTTTGTATTTTTAGTAGAGACAGGGTTTCACTGTGTTAGCCAGGATGGTCTTGATCTCCCGACCTCATGATCCACCCGCCTTGGCCTCCCAAAGTGCTGGGATTACAGGTGTCAGCCACTCACCCTAGATTTTTTTTTATGTCAGGAATTTAGCTGGAGGATTATAATCTAAAAAGAAATAAAATGAAAATTCCATACTAGATAAATAAATAAAATTAAGCACTTAATAGATGGGCTTCAGCAGCCAATTAGGCACAGGAAATTTAGTAAACTGGAAGACAGTTAAACAGAAAATAAGAGTTTAGTGTAAATTAAAGAGCAATTTCATGCAACACTGATTTATATGATAATAAGAAAAATAATAATAAGAGCCCGGCCGGGCACAGTGGTTCACACCTGTAATCCCAGCACTTTAGGAGGCCAAGGCTTCACCTGAGGGCACAAGTTTGAGACCAGCTTGGCCAACATCGTGAAACTCCATCTCTACTAAAAATAGAAAAAATTAGCCAGGCATGGTGGTGGGTGCCTCTAATCCCAGCTACTTGGGAGGCTGAGGCAGGAGAATCGCTTGAACCTGGGAGGCAGAGGTTGCAGTGAGCCAAGATGATAAATTACAAGATGAGCCATATTGCTTTTTGTATTTTCCTCAGATTTACAGTCACAACGATGAAATGACTCAAAATGCAGGTAAACTGGGAAGGGAAGAAAGATCACACCATTGCACTCCAGCCTAGGCAACAAGAATGAAACCCGTCTCAAAAAACAAGAGCCTACTATGTGCTTGCAACTATTCTAGGCATATTATAGTTAATACCTATATAAATTTATGAGGCAGGTACAATATTAAGCATAACATAGCTAATTTCTGTATAAATCTATGAGGCAGGTATTAATATTTCCTTTTTACATATAAAAATACTGAGACATGGACTTTAGATCATTTTCTAAGATCACACAGCTATGAAATTCTGCATAAGTCAGAATTTAAACTGAGGCAGTTTGGTTCTAGAATCCATGTAATCAGTACATTATAATGCAGAAATTAATAACAAATGAAGCTTGATGAGGTGTTTGCCTTTGAGACGGAGTTTCCCTCTTGTTGCCCAGGCTGGAGTGCAATGGTGCAATCTTGGCTCACTGCAACATCTGCCTCCCAGGTTCAAGCGATACTCCTGCCTCAGCCTCCTGACTAGCTAGGATTACAGGCACCCATTACCACGCCCAGCTAATTTTTTTGCATTTTTATTGAGACAGGGTTTCACTATGTTGTTTTTGGTTTTTTTTGAGACAGAGTCTTGCTCTGTTGCCCAGGCTGAAGTGCAGTGGCACCATTTTGACTCACCACAACCTCCGCCTCTTGGGTTCAGTGATTCTCCTGCCTCAGCCTACCAAGCAGCTAGGACTACAGGTGCATGCCACCATGTCTGGCTAATTTTTGTATTTTTAGTAGAGACAGGGTTTCACTATGTTGGCCAGGCTGGTCTCAAACTCTGGACCTCGTGATCAGCCTCCCAAAGTGCTGGGATTATAGGCGTGAGCCACCGTGCCTGTCTTTGTATTTGTATTTCTTACTCTCATTTTGAATTAAATCCCTCTCAATATATTGAGAGGTAATTAATATTTAGTCACTACTCTAATCTAATCTGACTTTGTAAATAGTTTAAAATTAAACTATAAGATGAGCCATATGCTTTTTGTATTTTCCTCAGATTTTGTACATCTGAGGAAAGCTTGGTCAGTTGGCCAACACAGTCACAACGATGAAGTGACTCAAGATGCAGGTAAACTGGGAAGAGAAGAAAGACTCGCCAGTGCCAGCCTTGAAAATTCAAACCTGGCCAGGCGCAGTGGCTCATGCCTGTAATCCCAGCACTTTGGGAGGCCGAGGCAGGTGGATTACCTGCGGTCAGGAGTTCGAGACCAGCCTGACTAACATGGTGAAACCCCATCTCTACTTAAAAAAGAAAAAAATTAGCCGGGGATGGTGGCACATGTATGTAGTCCCAGCTACTCGAGAGGCAGAGGCAGGAGAATCGCTTGAACCTGGGAGGCAGAGGTTGCAAGGAGCTGAGATCACGCCACTGCACTCCAGCCTGGATGACAGAGCAAGACTCCGTTGTGAAAAAAAAGAAAGAAAAGAAAATTCAAACCTATAAAACTATGGCACACATAGCATAAAATCATGGAAGATAAATATTGATTACAAATACTCAACCAAGAAGAAAATGGCAGCACTACCTAAAGACTTTTCAACTTCTTATGAAACCTGCATGGGATGCAGAAAATACATTTTTAGCTGGGCGCTGTGACTCACACCTGTAGTCCCAGCACTTTGGGAGGCCAAGGCGGGCGGATCACTTGAGGTCAGGAGTTTGAGACCAGCCTGACCAACAGGGAGAAACCCCATCTCTACTAAAAATACAAAATTAGCCGGGCGTGGTGGTGCATGCCTGTAATCCTAGCTACTAGGGAAGCTGAGGCAGGAGAATCGCTTGAACCCGGGAGGCACAGGTTGTGGTGAGCCAAGATCGCGCCACTGCATTCCAGCCTGGGCAACAAGGGTGAAACTTTGTCTCAAAAAAAAAAAAAAAAATTCTTAAAACTGCATGTGACAGAAGAGTTTAAGGTGGGCTCAGCACTTATATCCCGTGCAGAATTACAGTATGACTTCTGAAACCACTCAGACAAGAACATCTTTCCTTTCTTATCAACTGTTGAGGAAGCCGCCTACAAGACTTCTCTTAGTTTCAATTGCCCTGGCCTCTGCTTATCCAGAAGGAGAATTCTTAGTGACAGGACACAAAAAATGCTGGAAAAAAAAAATGCAGAAGTTGTCTTCTGGCACCTTGCCAACAGAAATAAAGCTTACCAAAAAGTTTTAAATTCAAGAACAACCACTGCCTACACTCAGAAGATAAACCACTTTTCTTTCCTTGAACAGCTGAACCTGAAGCCTTTTTTAAAGCCTGTATTCCTGGGTCTTGATTTTTAAGAAACATATATTAAAGGACTTCTTATAATATCTAAAAAGCTAACACGCACTGCACAATGTTACTCTGCATACTACATCTAATGTGGGCAAAAGAGTCAAATCTAGGTTTTGGCTTCTGGACATTGACACAGGGATCCCATGTTCTTCCCAGGCATCATCTTTCATAACAGTGAGACCCATCACATTTCCAGGAAACATGCAAGACTAAGTTCTGGAAGCTTTAGGTCACAGCACTAATTTAGTTTCTTCAGCAGGAATTTAAAGAAAGTTCTTCAAACTATGAAAAATGGACAGAGTTCAGTGGCTCCACCTGTAATCCCAACACTTTGGGAGGCAAACACAGGAGGATCACTTGAGCCTATGAGTCTGAGACCAACCTGGACAACATAGTAAGACCCTATCTCTTAAAAAAAAAAAAAAAACTGTTAACTTTGTTATAAAAAATGCTTACCTTTGAATATTTCTGTAACTCAGCATCATCTGCAATCTGTGTGTCCAAAGTAGCAACCTAAATTTACAAAAAAAAATTTCCAGTATTTGTAAAAACATAACTGTATTTCTTCCTACATTTTCTGAAAATATCTGTAAAACCTATATATTGATAACTCTATTTCACTTACATTCTAATACCTTTCTTATATTTTTGAAATCTACAACACATAATGTGAAATTTCAGAGTATATTTGACTTTTTTGTTGTTGTTCTCCACAACAATCTTTTTTCCTAAATTGCATAAATTGAACAGAAGGTGATGGGCAAATATATATACTATTTTTTTAATACCTAAATGACATGCCAAATATGTTTTTATTTGGTTATAAAGAGGTTTATAGATTACTTGTATATCATCTCATATGGTTATGTCCTGCCTGGGTTTTTATTATTATTATTATTATATTTTAAGTTCTAGGGTACATGTGCACAACGTGCAGGTTTGTCACATATGTATACTTGTGCCATGTTGGTGTGTTGCACCCATCAACTCATCAGCACCCATCAACTCGTCATTTATATCAGGTATAACTCCCAATGCCATCCCTCCCCCCTCCCCCCATACTATTTTTAAAAATCCATGATCCCTAAAATTTTAATATAATCCTCCATTATGCTAAATGCATAAAAATTTTACTCTTTTGACAAAATCAAGAATATGGCCATTTCTACTTTCAAATCCAAGCCTCAAAACAAAATTTGCAAGGTCAGTAAAGTCAGATGTGTTTGGAAAAACTAAAGCATCTGACTTTCCACAACAAGCTCAAACCATTTCCCCAGGAGAAATAGCTGGCAAAGACACAAACAGAAAGACCTGGTCCCTGGTGGAAAGCTCATGGAATACTTAAAGCTTTTAATCCTGGCCTAAAACTATTCTAAGCTTCAATGGTGGACATCCACAGAAATGAATTCCTTGCAAGCAAAAGTATGTTACTGATGATTTGCATCTGTAACTTGTTAATAAAATATGATGCATCTGGCAGGAAGGGATAAGTTAAACAATGACCCAACTACAGCTTCTGAAAGTACCGCATTTCAAATAAGCAGATTCTGGAAGAAAATGAAATAAGAAATATTGGAGTACATGCATTCATTCACTCTCCATTATGTCTGGCTTCTTTCTGCCAACTATTCCTTGGTACAAGATGCTACAACTTTTAATGGATAGCTGTCACTTTAAATTTCCAACTTCAAATTCTGTCTCTTCTTTATAATTTGTCTGTTATGACCTCACCATGTAATAAATAAATGAAATTTAAAAGTTTAGTTATAAGGAGAATAAAATTTTAACGGAAGGCTGGCAGTAGCTCATGTCTGTAATCCCAGAACTTTGGGAGGCCAAGGAGGGTGGATCACTTGAGCCCAGGAGCTCGAGACCAGACTGGGCTGTAACACAGTGAGACACCATCTCTAAAAAAAAAATTGAAAAATTAGGTGAGCGTGGTGGCTCATGCTTGTAGTCCCAGTCAGTCAGAAGGCTGAGGTGGGAGGATCGCTTGAGCCCAGGAAGTTGAAGCTGCAGTGAACTATGATTGTACCACTGCATTCCAGTCTGGGCAACAAAGCAAGACCCTGTCTCTCAAAAAATCGTTTTTTGCTTTTTGTTTTTTGTTTTTGTTTTTGAGGTGGAGTCTCCCTCTTTCGCCCAGCCACAGTGCAGTGGCACAATCTCGGCTCACCACAACCTCCGCCTCCTGGGTTAAGCGATTCTCCTGCCTCAGCCTCCCAAGTAGCTGGGATTACAGGTGCCCACTATCACACCCAGCTAACTTTTGCATTTTTGGTAGATACAAGGTTTCACCCTATTGGCCAGGCTGGTCTCAAACTCCCAACCTCAAGTGATCCACCCCCATCTCGACCTCCCAAAGTGCTGGGATTACAGGTGTGAGCTACCCCATGTGGCCAAAAAAATGTTTTTTAACAAAAAAAGAGCCCATCATAAAACTGGTCATTTGTAAATACTGGTACAGCAAATTCCTTTGAATATCAAACCACTAAGATAAGTAGGAAAGGCCATTTGCTAGGTAATAGCCTAATAACCATATTTGAAATCTATGAAGCAAAGAAACAGCAGCTTGGGAAAACTGACACACAGGTATAAAGTTACCAAGAGAAAGTGCCAATTGTATTGACTCATCCTAATGACACTGAAAAGTTTGTGACAACAGACAGTGGCTAGGTAATCTAAACCAAAATGATTTTTTAAATCTCCAACCAGCCAACAAGTACTAATAATAAACATATGTAAGAAAATGTGAATGAGAGTAGAAATTTAAAAGAATATTTTTTTACTAATGCATTTAGTGAACACTGTAGAGGCTTGTCTAAGTACAACTTTCTGCCTTCATGTGGATTCATATGGGGAAATGTAACCAATCCCTTACTCAATGAATCTAATAGCAGGAGAAAGGAAGTCTAATGGACCACTGGTACTATAAACTTATACCTAACCTAAATTACTTCCTGTTCTTCCAAATACATTTGATAATCATTCTTTCATTTTTCACATAAAACTATAAGATTCTTTGTGAAACATAGGACTAATATCCACAGTCCTTTCAGTGTACAGTAAAACAAACAGATCATAAAAGCAATCATAAAAATGCCAGCAATTTTAAGCAGCTGATATAGGTTATAAATTTAAAGGCAAGCTCTCTCTCTCTCTCCTAACAGTTTTCTGTCTATTGTCGACTTAAATGGTTTCAACATGAACTGAGTGTCTGCTAATTTTAACGGAAGTTTGCGTGCAGTCCTTAATTATTCTTACAGCTTAAAATGCTAAAGATGGGGGAAAAAATCAACTGATTGATCCAATAGGGAAGAAAGGCAGGAAGGAAAAATAAAGGCAGGCTGGCTATTCTTTGACTCTCCCATTTCTTTGGACTGTAGTGTTAGAAACTTGATGTGAAATGAGACAGAGTGTTTTTTATTAGAGCATTTTAACATACCATTACTTCATAATCAGGACCCAATAGGTTTTCCCATCTGGATTTCAGCTCATTTTCTGGAGAGTCTGGGGTTTTTTCTGTATATTAAAAAAAAGAGAGAGAGAGAGAATGTTGAAACTACTGTGAGCCAAACACACTTAACTGCTAAATTCTTCAATAACAGTCCAGTTTCAGTAAGTAAAGGGGAAATGAATAAAAAGGAAAATGCATTAACTTAGGTCTACTAGGTAAAGTAAATCAGAGGTGACTTATAAAACTAACATAAAATGTAAAGACCAGCTGTGACCAAATTACGAAAGAGCTTTTTTTGTTAAGGGATATTTTAAAGGAAAGAGAACATGATGAGTTATACATGAAATTTAAATTATATACAGTTTATATGTAAACATTCTATAGTTTACAAGTAAAATGCATCTGGCTTTGCTTTATAATACATTAGGACATAGAAGGATTTAATTTAAATGTTAATCACTTCAAAGTAGTTCCATTCCAGCTGCCCACTAGAAAAGTAAAAACTTATCAAGATATCTTTACTATCAGCAGCGCATATCAACATAATACAATCAGACTTTTCACATGGGTAGCTATAAAGGCTTGTCTGGTTTAATTCAGTCAAAGTTCTATGAGCTTTAATACAATAGAAACTCTGGTTTCACACTAGTCTTTTGTTGCTTGGTTATTAAGATATTTGTATCTTTATGACTTTCTTACTTGAGTGTAATACTGTCTGTGTTGCATAATTTTATAGAGCCAAAACAGATTTTAAGTGTCTTGCCTGTCCTCCACATGACTGTAGGCAGAAGCTCAGTGCATGGTGCATAGTATGAATAATGTCTAATAGGCAAAAGTCAAAGTACTAAAACTGAAGTTATAACTTATACCCATAGCAGTAGCAGAAAATGAACAAACTTCTACGTTTTTTAACTTAAAGAAAAACTGTCTCAATATTGTCTTAAGATTAAACAAGTCACAGAACAGTTATCACAACTGATATAACCATCTGCCTAAAATCAAATGTAACTTGCAGTATCAGTTCTTTTAGTCTTCAGCATGGACAGCTTATCTTGGATAAGCATATAATGTTTAATTACATAATACAAATCATTAAGCGAAACAGGCTAACCTCAAAAATCAGTGACTAACACTAATGAACACTAAAGAACTTAAATTACTACATTTATAAAAGAACATCCGTGAAATAACTATATTAATTGCTATGCTAGATTTCATTTAGGGGATGACTAACCAAAGATCCTATTAAAAACAAAAAATCAAATTCATTTGGGCTCTGCACCTTTGTGCCTATTCCTGTTAGTATTTCCTTAAGAAATTACATTAAGAGTTCTAACATGTTACCTTATAAATTTCTTCTTATAAATTTCCAGTAATTTCTTATCTGGTAAACAAATTTGAACAAAATTTGCAATTTATTTGTTGAATTCTAAGCTTAAAAACATGGCTCTCATATGACAGTTAATATATATGTATAAAATAATGTTGACATCTCACCAGCAATTCTTTTGACTATATTTTTACCTTTCAGTTGTACAACAAAAACACAGTCACGTGTTTTAAACCACAGTACAAAGGCCTAAGTGCTAGAGAAAAGAGTCAGCAGCTCAATAAATCCTAGGTTACACAAAATGATCAAAAAATGAATAACATGATGATCTGAAACAATTATTCCAAAGGCAAAAAGAGAGCTAACCTCATAGCAGTTAGTAGATTTTGGTTTTACTCTAAAGCTAAAATTATACATATGCAAGAAGAAAAAAATGTAGTGAAGTTGATCCAAATAGCACACATAAAATATTTCTAAAACTGATACTTCCTGGTCAATTGTAGGTATACTCTTTAATTTTTGCAAATATAACTAAAAAATGGTATGTCATTTTTAAAATTTGTATTTCTTTCATCACAAATGAAGTTGATATGTCAGTGTTGTTATTAGCTTTTTGTATTCCTCTTTCGTGAACCATCTGTTCACTATCTTTACCTGCTTTCATTTTAGCAAGTAGGACTTAATTTTAAATGGGAACATAATATATAAGATGCCAAGACCGTCACATTGATGATGAAAATCTTGTAGTGCATGTCTTGGAGTTAAAGTCTTAAGTATCAAGAAGTAAAATAATTTCATTGTTTCTATTACTAACATTAAAAGTTGAGTGCAAATTGTATAAAATTAGGTACCTTGATTAGTAAAAAAAAAAAATTGAATGTTTTGTCATTTATTTTATTAAGCAAGCCCAGTTAAGCCAAGCTTAGTAAATAATGTTTTTTAAACATCAGGCAGCATTTAAAATAGAGGAGTATTGTTATCCCTAGCGTGAGTATAATGATGATATGAAAAGCTTTGTCTTGTCATTATAATAATTAAAAAAAGGAACATTTATTATGGAAAAATATTTCTAAAACTATATCTAATTTCAGAATGTACTCGATTTTCATCTGACTTTTTACTGAAAATCTGAGCTCAACTCAGATTTGCAAAGATAAACTGCAATCTACTTGAGTCAAAAAGAACAAGGTAAATTTCCAAATCATAGGCTATTCTTTCCTGACCTGAGACAAGACAAAGCCAAAAGCCAAAACTTCTCAGGAACATGGATGGTTTTAAGTACTCAAGGAGTTTCATTTAGCAGGCGAGGCTTTCCCGGGCACTTTTATGCAGGGAACTGTGTGCAACTGTTACTCAATGAACTTGGAGAGTAGAGTCCACTATAATAGCTAAGGTATCAAAATACAAAGTAAAAGGACAAAGCTGCAAATCAATTAAAAAAAATTAAAGAATAAATGTTTAACAGCCTGGCAATTCGATGCAACTTTCAGAAATGTATACATTATTAATTTTTATAATAAAAAACATGTATAATGAAAAAGAAACATATGCTATATGTGTATAAACACCAATAATCTATAGATATAGACATATCAATGATAATATATAAGCTAAGGTGGTTCCCGCCTATAATCTCAGCACTCTGGGGGGCCAAGGTGGGAGGATGGCTTGAGGTCAGGAGTTTGAAACCAGCCTGGACAACAAAGTGAGACCCCATCTCTACCAAAATTAAAATAAAATTAAAAACTTAATATAAGTGAAGAAAAATTAAACAAGAGCTTGGTCTCCAACCATCACAGTGTTAACATGTTGATATTGGCTGGGCACAGTGGCTCATACCTGTAATCCCAACACTTTGGGAGGCCCAGGTGGGCAGATCAGTTGAGGCCAGGAGTTCAAGACCAGCCTGGCCAATATGGTGAAACCCCATCTCTACTAAAAATACAAAAATTAGCCCAGTGTGGTGGCATGCACCTGTAATCCCAGCTATACTTGGGAGGCTGAGGCAGGAGAATCACTTGAACCCAGGAGGTGGAGGTTACAGTAAGCTGAGATCATGCCACTGCACTCCAGCCTGGGCAACAAGAATGAAACTCCATCTCAGGGTCTGTCGTGGGGTGGGGGAAGGGGGGAGGGATAGCATTAGGAGAAATACCTAATGTAACGACAAGTTAACGGGTGCAGCACACCAACATGGCACAAGTATACATATGTAACAAACCTGCACGTTGTGCACATGTACCCTAGAACTTAAAGTATAATAAAAAATAAAAGAAGAAAATAAAAAACTCCATCTCAAAAAAAAAGATGTTGATATTAACAATATGCTATTTTATATCTCCAAAATGCCTATAAGATTTCTCACATTATATTAAATTTAAAGAGGGAAAATGGGTAACAAATGAAGAAGTCTGTTATTGCAAAGTGAATGCTTTGTACCTACCCAATTTTTCTAAGGCTTGTATGTTGTCATTTAAATTATCCATTCTATCTTTAATTTCCTCCTGTTCACCATCCACATTAGTTTCAGTTTCCACTGCTCCAGTTAGAAAGAGAGCTGGTGGTTTGGGTGGTTCAACAACAATTCCTAAAACAAAAAAATACATATTAAAAAAAATTTTTTTTAATGCTAACTTGAATTATTAGTTGTTGAGGACTATATTTAAGTGAGCATATTTTACTCCTGTTCTCCCATTTCATGACCTTATTAAATCTGAGACAACTTACATATATGATTCCTTAAACCCAAAATGCCATGTGTAATAGATAATCAATTCCTTAAAAAATGAACTTGTTAATAGCATTGAAAAGAATAAGGAACTAAACAATGAGAAGAGAAAAGCAAGGTAAAGTCAATGACAAAGAAGGGGTTAGATGTTTTTCAATATATCCTTGGAAAAAAAAAAAATGCTAAAGTCCTAAGCTCTTACTGTTCTGGTGGGCAGGAAGTAAGACCTGTAGAATAGCTGGACCAATTGCTATGGGCTCTCCTATGTTCTGGCATGACATCATCATGACGCTGACAAACAAGCCTACACAGGTAACCTCATTAGTTAGAAGGGAGTTAGAAAGAATTCCCCTTGGTATAGAGATTCCTCATTTTGCTAAATTGAGCTAAGTGAAATAATAGAGGAACTGGAAAGGAGCAGTGGCTCATGGCTATAGTCCTAGTGCTTTGGGAGGTCAAGGTGGGAGGATCATATCAGGCCAGAAGTTTGAGACCAGCCGGGGCAACTTAGTGAGACCCACTCTCTACTCCCAAACAAGAAATCTTCTTTAAAAATTAGCCAGACATGGTGACGTGCACCTGTAGTCCTAGCTACTTGGGAGGCTGAGGTGGGAGGATTTTCTGAGCCCAGGAGTTTGAGGGTGCAGTGAGCTATGATCGTGTCACTGTACTACAGTCTGGGTGACAGAGCAAGACCCTGTTTTTTAAAAAAAAAAAAACATGAGTTACCCAAGGTTTCACTCTCAACCATAAGTTGCATAAGAGTGATTCTACGTTGTGTTTTAAATAATTACACATCACTTATAAAGTATTCTTATAAAAAATAATTTAGGCCGGGCATGGTGGCTCATGCCTGTAATTCCAGCACTTTGGGAAATCAAGACAGGTGGATCACTTGAGGTCACGTGTTCAAGACCAGCCTGGCCAACATGGTGAAACCCTATCTCTACTAAAACTACAAAAATTAGACAGGCATGATGGCGCACGCTTGTAATCCCAGCCACTGGGGAGGCTGAGACATGAGAATCAAGAATTGCTCATTCACAGATACTGGGTATCCCTACATTCAGTTGGTGTGGTAAACTGAAGCCAAGAGCTCTTTCAGAGCTATTAAACACCATTATAGGGAAGGATTCCAAGATGGCCAAATAGGAACAGCTCCAGTCTACAGCTCCCAGCGTGAGTGACACAGAAGACAGGTGACTTCTGCATTTCCAACTGAGGTACTGGGTTCATCTCACTGGGACTGGTTGGACAGTGGGTGCAGCCCACGGAGTGTAAGCCGAAGGAAGGCGGGGCATCGCCTCACCCGGGAAGCACAGGGGTCAGGGAGTTCCCTTTCCTAGCCAAGGGAACCCGTGACAGACACTACCTGGAAAATCGGGACACTCCTGCCCTAATACTGTACTTTTCCAACGGTCTTAGCAAATGGCACACCAGGAGATTAAATCCCATGCCTGGCTTGGAGGGTCCCACGCCCATGGAGCCTTGCTCACTGCTAGCACAGCAGTCTGAGATTGAACTGCAGGGTGGCAGCGAGGCTGCGGGAGGGACGTCTGCCATTGCTGAGTTTTGACAAGGTAAACAAAGCTCCCGGAAGCTCGAACTGGGTGGAGCCCACTGCAGCTCAACAAGGCCCGCCTGCCTCTATAGATTCCACCTCTGGGGACAGGGCATAGCTGAACAAAAGGCAGCAGAAACGTCTGAAGACTTAAAAGTCCCTGTATGACAGCTTTGAAGAGAGCAGTGGTTCTCTCAGCACGGAGTTTGAGATCTGAGAACAGAGACTGCCTCCTCAAGTGGGTCCCTGACTCCCAAGTAGACTAACTGGGAGACATCTCCCAGTAGGGGCCGACTGAAACCTCATACAGCTGGGTCCCCTTGGAGACGAAGCTTCCAGAGGAAGGATTAGGCAACAATATTTACTGTTCTGCGATATTTGCTGCTCTGTAGCCTCTACTGGTGATACCCAGGCAAACAGGGTCTGGAGTGGACTTCCAGAAAACTCCAACAGGCCTGCAGCTGAGGGTCCTGACTGTTAGAAGGAAAACTAACAATCGAAAGGAATAGCATCAACATAAACAAAAAGGATATCCACACCAAAACACCATCTGTAGGTCACCATCATCAAAGACCAAAGGGAGCTAAAACCATACAGATGGGGAAAAAACAGAGCCGAAAAGCTGAAAACTCTAAAACACAGAGTGCCTCTTCTTCTTTCTCCAAAGGATCGCAGCTCCTTGCCAGCAATGGAACAAAGCTGGATGGAGAATGACTTTCACGAGCTGACAGAAGGAGGTTTCAGAAGATCGGTAATAACAAACTTCTCCGAGTTAAAGGAGGATGTTCGAACCCATCGCAAGGAAGCTAAAAACCTTGAAAAAAGATTAGAATGGCTAACTAGAATGAACAGTGTAGAGAAGACTTTAAATGACCTGATGGAGCTGAAAACCTTGGCATGAGAACTACGTGACGAATGCACAAGCTTCAGTAGCCGATTTGATCAAATGGAAGAAAGGGTATCAGTGATGGAAGATCAAATAAATGAAATGAAGCAAGAAGAGAAATTTAGAGAAAAAAGAGTAAAAAGAAACAAACAAAGCCTCCAAGAAATATGGGACTATGTGAAAAGACCAAATCTATGTTTGATTGGTATACCTGAAAGTGATGGGGAGAATGGAACCAAGTTGGAAAACACTCTTCATGATATTATCCAGGAGAACTTCCCCAACCTAGCAAGGCAAGCCAACATTCAAATTCAGGAAATACAGAGAACGCCACAAAGATACTCTTCGAGAAGAGCAACCACAAGATACATAATTGTCAGATTCACCAAAGTTGAAATGAAGGAAAAAATGTTAAGGACAGCCAGAGAGAAAGGTCGGGTTACCCACAAAGGGAAGCCCATCAGACTAACCAGAAGATCTCTTGGCAGAAACTCTACAAGCCAGAATAGAATGGGGGCCAATATTGGACATTCTTAAAGAAAAGAATTTTCAACCCACAATTTCATATCCAGCCAAACTAAGCTTCCTAAGTGAAGGAGAAATAAAATCCTTTACAGACAAGAAAATGCTGAGAGATTTTGTCACTGCCAGGCCTGCCTTACAGGAGCTCCTGAAGGAAGCACTAAACATGGAAAGGAACAATCAGTACCAGCCACTGCAAAAACATGCCAAATTGTAAAGACCATCAATGCTAGGAAGAAACTGCATCAACTAACGGGCAAAATAACCAGCAAATATCATAATGACAGGATCAAATTCACACATAACAATATTAACCTTAAATGTAAATGGGCTAAATGCCCCAATTAAAAGACACAGACTGGCAAATTGGATAAAGAGTCAAGACCCATCAGTGTACTGTATTCAGGAGACCCATCTCATGTGCAGAGACATACATAGGCTCAAAAGAAAGGGATGGAGGAAGATCTACCAGAAATACAAACTAACATCAGATAATACTATAAACACCTCCATGCAAATAAACTAGAAAATCTAGAAGAAACTGATAAATTCCTGGACACATACACCCTCCTAAGACTAAACCAGGAAAACACTGAATCCCTGAATAGACCAATAACAGGTTCTGAAACTGAGGCAATAATTAATAGCCAACCAACCAAAAAAAGTCCAGAACCAGACAGATTCACAGCCAAATTCTACCAGAGGTACAAAGAGGAACTGGTACCATTCCTTCTGAAACTATTCCAATCAATAGAAAAAGAGGGAATCCTCCCCAGCTCATTTTATGAGGCCAGCATCATCCTGACACCAAAGCCTGGCAGAGACACAACAAACAGAAAAAGAGAATTTTAGACAAATATCCCTGATGAACATTGATGCAAAAATCCTCAATAAAATACTGGCAAACGAAATTCAGCAGCACATCAAAAAGTTTATCCACCACAATCAAGTTGGTTTCATCCCTGGGATGCAAGGCTAGTTGAAGATGTGCAAATCAATAAATGTAATCCATCATATAAACAGAACCAAAGACAAAAACCACGTGATTATCTCAATAGATACAGAAAAGGCCTTTGACAAAATTCAACAGCCCTTCATGCTAAAAACTCTCAATAAATTCGGTATTGATGGAAGGTATCTCAAAATAATAAGAGCTATTTATGACAAACCCACAAGCCAATATCATACTGAATGAGCAAAAACTGGAAGCATTCCCTCTGAAAACTGGCACAAGACAGGGATGCCCTCTCTTACCACTCCTATTCAACATAGTGTTGGAAGTTCTGGCCAGGGCAATCAGGCAGGAGAAAGACATAAAGCATATTCAATTAGGAAGAGAAGAAGTCAAACTGTCCCTGTTTGCAGATGACATGATTGTATATTTAGAAAACCCCACTGTCTCAGCCCAAAATCTCCTTATGCTAATAAGCAACTTCAGCAGTCTCAGGATACAAAAGCAATGTGCAAAAATCATAAGCATTCCTACACAGCAATAACAGACAAACAGAGAGCCAAATCATGAGTGAACTCCCATTCACAACTGCTTCAAAGAGAATAAAATACCTAGGAATCCAACTTACAAGGGATGTGAAGGACCTCTTCAAGGAAAACTGCAAACCACTGCTCAACGAAATAAAAGAGGATACAAACAAATGGGAGAACATTCCATGTTCATGGATAGGAAGAATCGATATCGGGAAAATGTCCATACTGCCCAACATAATTTATAGATTCAGTGTCATCCCCATCAAGCCACCAATGACTTCCTTCACAGAATTGGAAAAAACTACTTTAAAGTTCATATGTAACCAAAAAAAGGCCCACATTGCCAAGACAATCCTAGGTAAAAAGAACAAAGCTGGAGGCATCATGCTACCTGATTTCAAACTATACTACAAGGCTACGGTAACTAAAACAGCATGGTACTGGTACCAAAACAGAGATATAGACCAATGGAACAGAACAGAGCCCTCAAAAATAATACCACACATCTACAACCATCTCATCTTTGACAAACCTGACAAAAACAAGAAATGGGGAAAGGATTCCCTATTTAATAAATGGTGCTGTGAAAACTGGCTAGCCATAAGTAGAAAGCTGAAACTGAATCCCTTCCTTACTCCTTATACAAAGATTAATTCAAGATGGATTAAAGACTTAAATGTTAGACCTAAAACCATAAAAACCCTAGAAGAAAATCTAGGCAACACCATTCAGGACATAGGCGTGGGCAAGGACTTCATGACTAAAACACCAAAAGCAAGGGCAACAAAAGCCAAAATAGACAAATGGGATCTAATTAAACTAAAGAGCTTCTGCACAGCAAAAGAAACTACCATCAGAGTAAACAGACAACCTACAGAATGGGAGAATATTTTTGCAATCTACTCATCTGACAAAGGGCTAATATCCAGAATCTACAAAGAACTTAAACAAATTTACAAGAAAAAATCAAACAACCCCATAAAAAAGTGGGCAAAGCATATGAACAGACACTTCTCAAAAGAAGACGTTTATGCAGCCAACAGACACATGAAAAAATGCTCATCATCACTGGTCATCAAAGAAATGCAAATCAAAACCACAATGAGATACCATCTCACACCAGTTAGAATGGTGATCATTAAAAAGTCAGGAAACAACAGGTGCTGGAGAGGATGTGGAGAAATAGGAACACTTTTACACTGTTGGTGGGAGTGTAAACTTGTTCATCCATTGTTGAAGACAGTGTGGCGATTCCTCAAGGATCTAGAATTAGAAATACCATTTGATCCAGCCATCCCATTACTGGGTATATATCCAAAGGATTATAAATCATGCTGCTATAAAGACACATGCACATGTATGTTTATTGTGGCACTATTCACAATAGCAAAGACTTGGAACCAACCTAAATGTCCATTAATGATAGCCTGAATTAAGAAAATGTGGCACATATACACCATAGAATACTATGCAGCCATAAAAAAGGATGGGTTCATGTCCTTTGCTGGGACATGGATGAAGCTGGAAACCATCATTCCGAGCAAACCATTGCAAAGACAGAAAACCAAACACTGCATTTCTCACTCATAGGTGGGAACTGAACAATGAGAACACTTGGACACAGGGTGGGGAACATCACACACTGGGGCCTGTTGTAGGGTGGGAGGAGTGGGGAGGGATAGCATCAGAAGAAATACCTAATATAAATGTTGAGTTAATGGGTGCAGCACACCAACATGTCACATGTATACATATGTAACAAACCTGCACGTCATGCACATGTACTTTAGAACTTAAAGTATAATTTAAAAAAAATAAAAATTAAATTTAAAAAAAAGCTTCTGCATAGCAAAATAAGTAGTCAACGTAGTCAACACAGTAAACAGACAACCTACAGAATGGGAGAAAATATTTGCAAAGTATGTCTCCAATGAATGACTAATATTCAGGTTCTAGAAGGAACTCACACAACTCAATAAGAATAAAACAACTCCCCATTAAAAAGTGGGCAAAATACATGAACATACATTTCTCAAAAGTAGACATATAAGTAGCCAACAAACTAACAATCCTGCAATTAAAACCACATTCAAACCACAATGAGATACCATCTCGTATCAGTCAGAATGGCCATCATTAAAAAGTCAAAAAATAACTGATATTGGCAACGATGTGGAGAAAAGGGAACACTTATACACTGTTGGTGGGGATGTAAATTAGTACAACTTCTGTCGATGTGGAAAACAGTATGGAGATCTCTTAAAGAACTAAAAATAGCACAACCATTTGACCCAGTAACTCCACTACCTGGTATCTACTCAAAGGAAAAGAAATAGTTCTATCAAAAAGACTCAGGTACTAGTACGTTTATTTCAGCACTGTTTGTAATACCAAAGTCATGAAAACAATCTAAGTGTCCATCAACAGATGATAGGATACAGAAAATGTAGTATATACCATGGACTACTATACAGCCATAAAAAGAATGAAATTATGTTCTGTTTTGTTTTGTTTTCAGCAACATGAATGGTGCTGGAGGCCATTATTCTAAGTGAAATAGCTCGGAAACAGGAAATTAAACACTCCATGTTCTCACTTATAAGTAGAAGCTAAACAATGGGTACACATGGACATGCAGAAGAAGATAATAAACACTGTGGATCCCAGGATGAAGGAGGCTGGTGGAGAGGGGGTGAGGGTTGAAAAATTACATATTCGGTATGATGTTCACTATTTGGGTGATGGGTATACTAGAAGCCCAAATCCCAACACTATGCATATATATCCATGTAATAAACCTACACATTTATCTCCTGAATCTATAAAAATAAAAAAATTGTTAAATTAAAAAAAAACATATTTATATAAATATTTATGTAAGCTATTTAAGGTCAATATGGCATTTGTGCCAGGCGGGGTGGCTCACGCCTGTAATCCAAGCACTTTGGGAGGCCAAGGCAGGCAGATCACGAGGTCAGGAGTTCGAGACCAGCCTGGCCAACATAATGAAACCCTGTCTCTACTAAAAATAAAAAAATTAGCCAGGCATGGTGGCGGGCAGCGCCTGTAATTCCAACTACTCGGGAGGCTGAGGCAGGAGAATCATTTGAACACGGGAAGTGGAGGTTGCAGTGAGCCAATATGGCGCCACTGCACTCCAGTCTGGGTGACAAGAGTAAAACTCCATCTTGAAAATAAATAAATAGGTCGGGCGCGGTGGCTCAGGCCCGTAATCCCAGCACTTTAGGAGGCCGAGGCAGGCAAATCACGAGGTCAGGAGATCGAGACCATCCTGGCTAACACAGTGAAACCCCGTCTCTACTAAAAAATATAAAGCATTAGCCAGGCATGGTGGCGGACACCTGTAGTCCCAGCTACTTGGGAGGCTGAGGCAGGAGAATGGCGTGAACCCAGGAGGCAGAGCTTGCAGTGAGCCAAGATCCCGCCACTGCACTCCAGCCTAGGCAGTAGGGCAAGACTCCGTCTCAAAAAATAAATAAAAATAAATAATTAGTTGATTAAAAAATTAAATGGCATTTGTACAACTTGCACTATTTAGGCAATTTTTAATTTCATACATTGGATGCAGTTGGCATCTGTCTTTTAGCAACAAAAGTTCTACCATCACATAAAAGAGAAGAAGTTCCAACTGAAATACAAATCACTATTGGCTGAAAGCAAAGGCTTCCAGGTGTATTGTATCTTCAGAGGAATATTTCCAGAGGAAAAAAATGATCTTCTGTCAAATTCTAATTGAAGTATTTCTTACTTCTTAGTTATATAACTAGTCACGTTTTTTTTTTTCCTTTTAAGAGACAGGTCTGATTCTGTCACCCAGGCCAGCATGCAGTGGCAACTTTTTTGCTCACTGAAGCCTCAAACTCCTAGGTTCAAGTCATCCTCCTGCCTGAGTCTCCTGAGTAGCTGGGAATATAGGTGGGTGCCACCAGGCCCGGCTAATGTTTAATTTTTTGTACAGAAGGGGTCTCCCTATGTTGGTCAGGCTGGTCTTAAATTCCTGGCCTCAAGCAATCCTCCTGCCTCGACCTCCAGAAGTGCTGGAATTACAGGTGTGAGCCACCAAGCATGGTTAGAATTACTGCACCCAGTAAGTCACTCATTCTAAATTGAATATGTGTTTCCACGATTATCAACTTTTGTTCATCTATACATTTATAAGTTGATAATTAAAAACTGACATGCAGCCGGGCACTGTGGTTCACACCTGTAATCCCAGTACTTTAGGAGGCCAAGGCAGGTGGATCACTTGAGCTCAGGAGTTTGAGACTAGTATGGGCAACCCAGGAAAGACCCCATCTCTACAAAATAAATAAATTATCTGGGTTTGGTGGTGCTTGCCTGTGGTCCCAGCTACTCAGGAGGCTGAGGTGGGAGGATAACTTGAGCCCAGGAAGTAAGGCTGCAGCGAGCCATGATCGTGCCACTGCACTCCAGCCTGGGCAACAAAGTGAGACCTGTCTTAAAAAAAACAAAATACAGATACATGTTTTATTTTCTCTCAGTATACCTCAAAAAGTAAATCAAGAAGCAGACTAGAATAAAATATATTGCTAAAAGTAATAGGAAACCTGGCTGGGCACGGTGGCTCACACCTGTAATTACAGCACGTTGGAAGACAAAGGCAGGCAGATCGCCTGAGGTCAGGAGTTTGAGACCAGCCTGATTAACATGGTGAAACCTTGTCTCTACTAAAAATACAAACAGAATTAGCTGTGTGTGGTGGCACACGCCTGTAGTCCCAGCTACTTGGGAGGTTGAGGCATGAGAATCACTCGAACCCAGGAGGCAGAGGTTGTAGAGAGCCAAGATCATGCCACTGCCCTCCAGCCTTTTTTTGAGGCAGTAATAGGTAACCTGAAGTCTGCAAAATGTCAAAGCATTAGACAAATGAGATTCCCCCAACAAAAGTGTCAAAGCTTTATTATTCAAATATATGTAATCAATGAAATTTGAAAGCTTTTAGAAAAAATGATTTTCATCTCCATTTAGAGATGCTCTCAGAGCTTAGTGCATGTCAAGGTGCACATCCTACCATTCTGACTGACATAGTAAGCAAGAAAACACTTCTTCAATGAACAAATGAGCTGACTCATTTCTCCATCAGTGCATTACACGAGGCGGGACAACATTTCCTGCTGAGACTCAGGAGCAACTTCCAAAATTGAACTGCTCTTCCAAACGTAAACTACTTGAGGGATAGAGGGGTGGCAAATTAATCACCTCTGGCTGAAAGCGGTTCAAGTGGAGAAGTAGATGAGGATGTCTTCCTTCGAACTAGGGTTAGGTGTACCACCTGCCCTGCATTTCGTAATACTTCAACAACATCTTGGTTGGCAAAACCCTGAATGTTCACGCCATCGACCTAAAACATCAAGAGAAACAGTAAACAGAGGTTTCAAGTTAGCTCCTATTTTTAGCTCTGGCAAAAATGAGGTAATTCCTTTCATTCCAAAAATAAATTATTTAGGCCAGGTATGGTGGCTCGCACCTGTAATCCCAGTACTTTGGTAGGCCAAGGTGGGTGGATCACCTGAGGTCAGGAGTTTGAGACCAGACTGGCCAACATGGCGAAACCCCATCTCTACTAAACACACAAAAATTAGCCAGGTGTGGTGGCAGACACCTGTAGACCTAGCTACTCGGGAGGCTGACGCAGGAGAATCGCTTGAACCTGGGAGGTAGTAGTTGGAGTGAGCCAAGATTGTGCCATTGTACTCCAGCCTGGGTGACAGAGCAAGACAAAGGAAGGAGGGAAGGAGGGAAGGAGGGAGGGAAGGAAGGAAGGAAGCAAAGAAGGAAGGAAGGTAGGAAGGAAGGAAGGAAGGAAGTAGAAAGGGGGAAGGGGGGAAGTGGTAAGGGGAAAAAGGGGGAAGGGGAAAGGGGGGAAGGGGGGAAGGAGGGAAGGGGGAAGGAAGGGAAAGAAAGAGGAAGGGAGGGAAAAAAAGGGAAAGAAAGAGGAAGAAAAGAAAGAAAAAAGAGAAGTAAAGAAAAGAAAAAAGAAAAGAATTAATTTAGACCTTAGGATATATTTTTGAATAAGGATGTAAAACTAGTAAAACATGCTGAGAAACTTCCTCACACACTAGAAAGCAAATTCAAATTTGTCACTTAACTAATAGCCTGAGAGATATAAAGGACTTTAATCTCTGATGCAATTCAAAATTCAAAATGCCATAAAAGATGACCAGTTATTATACATAGCTCTCAAGATGTATTAATAGAAGCCATTATTATCAAAACTGAAGAAGTCATCTAATACTTCATCCCTCTATTCATATCACCACATGATATTTTCAAGAAACACACTGATCTCCCTCCAATAGGTCTTCTAGCTTTCTGAAAAAGTGTGAGCAAGAACAGTATTGTTAATCTACGTCAAGCCCAATTCCTGAAGTCTATCTGGACCAATAGGCTTCCTCTCTCAATCTTCTTTGAGCTAGCTATAAGTATTTCAACTTTCCCCATAAGGCTTTTAAAGCCAACAGTCATGAAATGTGCTTTCTTAGATAGATTTGAAGGACAAGGACTCAAATCATACCACGCAGCATTTGGTTCTATGTTAAGCAATGTGTATGTATACATGTATGTAGACATTAATATAAGTGTATATATAAACTGAACTAATTTCTACTAAATGGGGGAAAGACCACTTTTAATTGATAAAAGGTAATTATTACATTCTTAAATATGTAAAATACCTCAATTTTAGTTGTACTCATAATTATTAATAGAAAAACTATTTTCACAAAAAGATAAAAAGAGCTGGTTAATGGCCTATTAATTATAGATAAAACGAGTGAGTTTAAAGAACACAGTGTGGTACTCTCAGGGTTTTCTAGAAGAATGCTAGAACAACTTTCAAACACACATGTATAGAAAAAATATATTTTTTTACCAATACGTTTAGTGAATCCTTTATTTACTGACAGTGAAAAAAAATTTAATGTAGGAAGAAGAGTCCAAAATAATGAGATTTTACTGTATAACAAACTTAATTTTTTAAAAAACCTTATAAAACTATATTAAGCTATTCCCCCTCTCACATGTATTATAATAATGATCAACCTTTTTTTCAACTAGAATCAAACCTAAAACAGAGGCTAATTACTTACAGCAACTATTTTGTCATTCACTTGAATGTGGCCATTGTGGTACGCAGCACTGCCAGGTATTATACTTTTCACATAAATCCCTGAAGCCTCCCCTTAAGGTGCACAGATATACAGAAAAAGGAAGAAAATTCTAATTAGGCCTTGATTGCAAAATTTGTATCAAGAGGTTAATTAGCTAACGGGGTTGACTGGAGGTTTGATAAATACTATTTTGAACACAAGCAGAGAAATTGATGGATTATTTCAAACTGTCACCATCTCAAGTGACCCGAATTTGAAATGATTTGACTGATGACTACTCTTCTGGAAAAATAATCAGTAATGGAACCCTGATGAAATGTACTCTAATTTAAGCTGGAATTCAGGAGAGCCCAGAGTAAGTCTGACTCTCTCTTAGTCTGCCTCTACTCTTACTACTGATGTGGCATAACACTTCATCATTTTTTTTTTTACCATCACTATGACAAGAGTCTCCTAGGTCTTTCCGCCTATATTTAGATCACTGCTCATGTTAGCTTCACAGACACAGAAATAAGAAAACTATATATGATCTTTCTGTTTGTTTATTTTTTTGAGACGGAGTTTTGCTCTTGTCGCCCAGGCTGGAGTGCAATGGCACGATCTCAGCTCACTGCAACCTCCACTTCCAGAGTTCAAGTGATTCTCCTGCCTCCTAAGTAGCTGGAATTACAGGCGCCCACCACCACACCCAGATAATTTTCACATTTTTAGTAGAGATGGGGTTTCACCATGTTAGTCAGGCTGGTCTCGAATTCCTGACCTCAAGTACTCCATCCACCTAGGCCTCCCAAAGTGCTGGGATTACAGGTATGAGCTACCATGCCTGGCCCAGAAAAGCACATATGGTCTTAACAACTACAAAAAAAAATTAGTGGCCGGGTGCGGTGGCTCAAGCCTGTAATCCCAGCACTTTGGGAGGCCGAGACGGGCGGATCACGAGGTCAGGAGATTGAGACCATCCTGGCTAACACAGTGAAACCCCGTCTCTACTAAAAAACACAAAAAACTGGCCGGGCAAGGTGGCGAGCACCTGTAGTCCCAGCTACTCGAGAGGCTGAGGCAGGAGAATGGCGTAAACCCAGGAGGCGGAGCTTGCAGTGAGCTGAGATCCAGCCACTGCACTCCAGCCTGGGCAAGAGAGCCAGACTCTGCCTCAAAAAAAAAAAAAAAAAAAATTGTATGAGCTCAGCAACATGAAATAATCTTTACATATTATAAAATAAAACATTGAAACAGACAAATGGCTATAAAAAATTTTTTAATTTAAAATTTAAAACTTTAATTGTAAAGCATGCCTTCCCATGGGCAGGGACAGGAAGGGAAACTGGAAAACAAAACACAATAGATCTGCATGATTTTACATTTTTATTTCCAAATAAACTCAAAACATTGTTTGTAGGCCAGGTGTAGTTGTTCAGTTGTAATCCCAGCACTTTGGGAGGCTGAGGAGGGAGGATCACCTGAGCCCTGGACTTTGAGGCAAGCCTGGGTAACATAGTAGGATGTCATCACTACAAAAATTTTTAAAATTAGCTAAGTGTGATGGTATATGCCTGTGATTCCAGCTACTCTGGAGGCTGAGGCATGAGAATCACCTGAGCCCAGGAGCTTAAGGCTTGTCTCTTAAAAAAAAAAAAAAAAATTCCGGGCACCGTGGCTCACACCTGTAATCCCAGCACATTGGGAGGCTGAGGCAGACAGATCACTTGAGGTCAGGAGTTCAAGACCAGCCTGGCCAACATGGCGAAACCCTGTTTCTACTAAAGTACAAAAATTAGCTGGGCGTGATGGTGCACGTCTAATCCCAGCTACTTGGGAGGCTGAGGCAGGAGAATTGCTTGAACCCGGAAGGTGGAGGATGCAGTGAGCTGAGATCGTGCCACTGTACTCCAGCCTGGGCAACAGAGTGAGATTCTGTCTCAAAAACAAAAAACAAAAAACAAAACAAAACAAAAAACTATAGAAGAAAAAATAAACATCAATTGCTTCCCATTGCCAACAAAATAATATACAAATTTCATAGAATCACATTCAAGCCCTTCCATAATCTGCCCAAATTTATTTTTTGCCTTCAATTTCCACTACAACTTTCCAAGAAAATAAGTCTGGACACACCAGGCTCTTATTACTATTTTTTTTGAAACAGGGCCTGGCTCTGTTGCCCAGGTTGCAGGTTGGTGTGTAGTGATACAATCATGGCTCACTGCAGCTTCTGCCTCCCCAGCTCAAGCGATCCTCCCACCTCAGCCTCCTGAGTAGCTGGGGCTACAATTTTTTTTATTTTTTGTAGAGACAGGGTTTCACCATGTTGCCCAAGCTGGTCTTGAACTTCTGGGCTCAAATGAGCTGCCAGCCTCAGCCTCCCAAAGTGCTGGGATTACAGGCATGAACCACCAAGCCTGGTCCACAGCACACACTTGACATTTCCCCAAAACAGCTGGCAGTTTCATGATTTTACCTTTTCTCTAGCTTCTTTCTTCTAGTAAACTTTGACCTATCAAAACCCTTCTTCTTTGCCATTCATAGCTCAAATGCTGCCTTCTTTGTGAATTCTCCATTTCCCTCTGACAAACTGAATATGTCATCTGCCATACCATGATAGTTTGCTTGTACAGTGGGCCCCGCATATCTGCGGATTTCACATCTGCAGAATGTGAACCGGGTGTGGTGGTGCACACCTGTAGTCCCAGCTACTGGGGAGTCTGAGGCACAAGAGTCACTTGAACCTGGGAGGCAGAGGTTGAAGTGAGCCGAGATCATACCACTGCACTACAGCTCTGGGTGACAGAGCAAGACTCCATCTCAGAAAAGGAAAAAAAAAGATAATAATAATTTTTAAAAAAGAACTAAGTGTTTCTTACACATTTGTCTCCCTGAACAGACTTTTCTTATTCATTTTTCTACCCTCTCCAGAACTGCTCAAAAGTCCAACGAATAGAATACAGCAAAAATGATTTTCAAAGACTACTTGTTAAAAAGCATGTTGAGTTGTGTTTGGATTTACCTGCTCCCTACCACCCCTAACTACCCAGTCCAAAAAACTTTCGAGGGTAAAGAAATAAAATGGGCCAGGCATGGTGGCTCATGCCTGTAATTCCAGCATTTTGGGAGGCCAAGGCAGGTGGATCATCTGAGGTCATGAGTTTGAGACCACCCTGGCCAACATAGTGAAACCCTGTCTCTGCTAAAAATACAAAAATTATCTGGGCGTGGTGGTGCATGCCTGTAGTCCCAGCTACCCGAAGCCTGGGGTAGGAGAATCTCTTGAAACTGGGAAGTGGAGGTTGCAGTGAGCCAAGTCTGTGCCACTGCACTCCAGCCTGGGCGACAGAGCGAGACTCCATCTCAAAAAAAAAAAAGAAGTAAAACAGTAAAAAGATACTTTCCTTTCTTCAGTAATGTAAACATGAAATGTTCTCAATGTTCTACCAGTCATTCACTTTCACTTAGGAACAAAATCATAAGTTTAGGAACTAATGATTCCTCTAACCACACTTAACATACTAAAAACTACTCGAAGTGGTTTTTTGCAACATTATTATACAATCCACACTGAGCTCTTTTGAATGTCATTAAATTCTGAAACTAAATAAAGGTGGCACCTAGAATCTAAAGGTTTGAAAAAAGATATTTCATTAGGCTAAAATAGCACAAGGTGGTCTGACATGAATTTCATTCAGGACTTTGAATACATTAGCACTCTTAATCCTTCCACCTGCTGTAAATATGCAAAATAACAATTTTTTTAAGGAAATGAACTCTGCAATCTTGCTATTAAAAAAAACCAGAACATTTTATAACTCTGAATTTTCATATTAGCAAGTATTTATGGAAAAGTTTATTTTTTTCTTACCCTAATAATTATCTTAAAATAAAGGAATAAATCTTATAGTGAAAGTTACCAAAGCTTTGCAGATAGGAGTTGAGAGAGCTTTATTCAGAGATACTTGAACTCTGTATTTATTCTCATAGTTTATTCCTTTTACATGAAAGGAAAATAGTTCTAATGAAAATGCTTGTTTTAACTTTTTTTTAGTGATAAAACATAACAGTCATACTTTTGGAACATTTACAATATGAAATATATACAGTAATCAATTTACTTATCACAAATCTAATCTAGCATAATATATTAACAATATTCATAATATAGCTATTTCACAAACAAAAGAAGGTACAATTCAAATATTACACACTGAGCTGGCCAATTATATTCTTTTGTTAATGGATATCACGCCAGCTATAAAACTACTGAGATAAAAATGTGACTCTGTAATCACTGAGAAGTGACTGGTTGCTAGCATAGATTCATGGTTTTATTGTTCAAAATTTAAATTAAAATCTGCAAGTATTTAATTTTACTATCTAGAAACCTTAACATCCTTTATGATTATTTCCAAATATAAAATAGAAATGATTCATTTACCTGTATGAGATGTTCCAACATAGCCAACAATTCTAATTCCAAGACTCTGCCCATCTTTTTTCATGAGCTCAACATTGTAAGTTTCAAAAAGAGAACTGTCCTAAAAGGAAAAACCAAATTTAATTATATATGCTTAGTGGCATACCTGTGTGTACATAGTCAATCTGTGCAAGGTTTGTCAAGTATTTTCTTAGCGCCTATGGTAGGCAGAACTTTAAGACAGTCCCATGACCTTCAATCCCTTGTGCTACTCCCATACTGATGCCATATTACATGGCAAAATGGAGATTATCCAGGTGGGCCTAATCTCATCACTGGAGTCCTTTAAAGGCAGAGTTTTCTCCTGCTGGTAGTAGAAAGGGAAATGAAAAAGATCTGAATCATTAAGGACTCAACTTGTGGTTTGAAGATGGAGGGAGTCACGTGGACCTTAAGGAGCCGAAAGAGGTCTCTGGCTGGCAGCCAACAAATAAAAAGGGACCTCAGTCCTACAGTTGCAAGGAACAAGATTCTGCCAACAATCCGAATGAGACTGGACGTGGACTATCCCCAGGGCATCCAGAAAAGAACCCAGCCAGGCCCACACCTTGATTTTGGCCTTCGTAAGAAGCTAAGCAGAGGCCAGGTACAGTGGCTCACACCTATAATCCCAGCATTTTGGGAGGCCAACGCAGGCAGATCACCTGAGGTCAGGAGTTTGAGACCAGCCTGGCCAGCATGGTAAAACCCCGTCTCTACTAAAAATACAAAAATTAGCCAGGCCTGGTGGCACATGCCTGTAACCCCCACTGCTCCGGAGGCTGATATAGGAGAATTGCTTGAACCCAAGAGGCAGAGGCTGCAGTGAGCCGAGATCGCGCCACTGCACTCCAGGCTGGGCAACAGAGCAAGACTCTGTCTCAAAAAAAAAAAAAAAAGAAAGAAAAAGAAAAAGAAAAAAAGAAGCAACAGCAGCTAAGCAGAGAGCCAAGCCAAGCCCACCCTGAATTCTGACCTACAGAACTGTGAACTAACAAAGGACATTGTTTTAAACCAGTAAATTTGTTATACAACAACAGAAAGCTAATATAACCACTTAGAAAAAAGTTAGGCTATATTTGTATCTGAAAGAACTACGAACATAAAGAAAAATTTAGAAACAAAACGTAAAACTAATTATTGTTCAGTAATATAAAAATATCGACCTAAAACTTAATTTATTTTCTTCTTTGTTGTTGGTTTTTTTGTTTTTTTTTTCCCAGAGACAAAATCTTGCTCTGTCACCCAAGCAGGAGTGCAATGCAGCAATCACAGCTTATTGCAACCTCAAACTCCTGGCCTCAAGCAATCCTCCCCCTTCAGCCTTCCAGGTAGCTGGGACTACAGGTGTGAGCTACTGCATCTGGCCCTAAAACTTATTTTCAATACTCATCTTTTAAACTATTCTGTAAATGAGTAAGGTGTCTAAATACATAATACTTTGCTTTTAATTCAAAACATTAACATGAGAAAGTAAATAATTGATTCGATCAAGTTTCCACTTATCACATATCCACATTTGTCTCTCACTACAAAGTAGAAGGCTCTGGGGAACTAGAGTAATGGAGGAAAAAGAAAATGTAACCACAATTTGGAGAAACTTTTTTTTTTTTTTTGAGACAGAGTCTTCCTCTATCACCCAGTCTAGAGTGCAGTGGCAGGATCTCGGCTCACTGTAACCTCCACCTCCTGGGTTCAAGTGATCCTCCTGCCTCAGCCTCCTAAGTAGCTGGGATTACAAGCGTGTGCCACCACTCCTGGCTAATCTTTGTATTTTTAGTAGAGTCGGGTTTCACCATGTTGGCCAGGCTGGTCTTGAACTCCTGGTCTCATGTGATCCACCCGCCTTAGCCTCCCAAAGTGCTGGGATTACAGGCATGAGCCACTGAGCCCAGCTGGAGAAACTTTTTAAAGGTTCTGATATTTCAAACAGAAAACTTCCACTCATACAGTTCCAAGTAGAGAAAGGCAACAACTTCCCAGAATACACAGAATGACATCTCAGGTGATAATAATCAGTGGCCTTCCACCCTTTTCCACCATAATCATTTATCTTTCCTTTTGTTTTTGTTTCTTTCTTTTTCTTTCTTTTTTTTTTAAACAGAGTCTTGCCCTGTTGCCCAGGCTGGAGTGCAGTGACACAATCTCAGCTTACCGCAACCTCTGCCTCCTCGGTTGAAGTGACTCAGCCGGAGAATCCGGGACTACAGGTGTGCACCACATCTGGCTAATTTTTGTATTTTTAGTAGAGATTGGGTTTTGCCATGTTGGCCAGGCTGGTCTTGAACCCCTGACCTCAGGTGATCCACTCACCTTGGCCTCCCAAAGTGCTGGGACTAGAGGCACGAGCCACCGCGTCCGGCCCATTTCTCTTTTCTTTCCTCTTCCTCCTGGACCCTCCCTTTAACACCTATTTCTGGCCAGTCATGGTGGCTCACGCCTGTAATCTCAGCACTTTGGGAGGCCAAGGTGGGCAGATCACCTGAGGTCGGAAGTTTGAGACCAGCCTGACCAACATGGAGAAACTCCATCTCTACTAAAAATACAAAATTAGCCAGGCGTGGTGGTGCATGCCTGTAATCCCAGCTACTCAGGAGGCTGAGGCAGGAGAACTGCTTGAACCTGGGAGGTAGAGGTTGCGGTGAGCCAAGATTGCGCCACTGCACTCCTGCCTGGGCAACAAGAGCGAAACTCCGTCTCAAAAACAAAACAAAACAAGCAAACAAACAAAAAACCCATTTCTTTGCTTTTACTTTATTATGTCTTCACTGAAAGCCCATGTTGAGATAGTGGGAAGGAGCTTGGAATGGACCAGAAACATGTGAATTCAAATTCCAGTTTTGCAACTTACTCCCTATAAGGTCTTTAATATGATGTTTGACTTTATTTTCCTCATCTATTAAATGTACAATAAGACCTATCTGGCAGAATTACTGTGAAGATTTCAGATGACCTGAACAATTCCAGGTGTTTGATAATTAAAAATAACTATTATTATTATATAACTAAAATAATTAGTATAATAAATATTATTATTGATATCCATTCCCTTTAGTCAGCCTCTGGCTACCAGTGATAATTCTCACACATCAGCCAGTGTTAACAGTTTTCCCTCCACCACCTGGATGTCTCCTCACCAGCTCGGTGAAATAGACAAAGCAAGTATTATTATTATTCAATTTATAAATAAGTCACTGATGCTCAGGGAGGCTGAATGACTTAACCCTGAGAAACAGCGAAATAGAAAAACCAACATGTCTAATGTCTCCAAATGAGTTTTTTTATTTTCCTGTTTCACTGGTGAGCGCGCAACTCACACCAATGTGGTGCCTCAAGTTGAAAGAATTTCTTATCTTACAGTGTGTCACACCCAGGCTTTGATTTAAGATGAAAGAAGGATATGTATAACTCACAGAACCAGGGCCTTTGCCGGCTACAGTAGGCAGGGCAACAGGTAAGGCTGCAGGGGCAGGAGGGGTGACTGAAATGTCACCAGCTGGATCTCTAGCAACGAGCATCCTGACTGAATTCCCACAGTTCCTTAGAACTTGTGCAACTTGCTCGCTGGTCATTCCCTGCACATTTGTGCCACCAATCTTCAAGATGTAGTCCCCTGTCTGGAGTCTTCCATCCTTCAATCCAAGAAAAAGAAAAAATTATTTCAAGAAATCAATGCTCTAACTTCACTAGTTAATAACAGTTCATCAGATTTTTGGCTCTGGCAAAATGGCTGACAAAGAAGCCACCTAAAATGCTGAATAAAATGGAGTACTGTTAATAACTGGCTGAAATGGTGAGAGTAAAGGAATTTCACGTAGAACACAAAGGAAAGGCTCAAAATGAGAAAAGTAACCAGTATTCTAAAAAAGGCCTTTGCTTGAGGGTATAAGCTCATGCCTAATGGCCTAGAGTTGGGTGTTAATGGCCATGTGTGCAAAGAAAAGGACAGAAAAGCCAGGGCCTCAAGAAGGAAAGGTCAGAACAGAAGCCTCCAGCATAAAGCTGGGAACTTGAGAACCAACATCCTCAGTGACATGTTTGAGGAATAGAAAGATGCCAGTGCAGCTACAAGAAAATGAGGGAAAAAAAGAGTAATCTAAGAGATGGGAGAGTTAACGGAGTCAGACAGTATAGGGCATCTTCTTTGCATGATTGGGAAGAGAAGGCATTGAGTAGGATTTTGAAACAGAAGAGTGACATTACCTGACTGACTTTAACAACAGAATTCAAGCTTCTGTGCTTAAAATAAACTACAGAAGAGGAAACGAGAGAAGCAAAAATACGAGTTGGGAGGCCTTAGCAATAATCCACAATAGCTTGGGTGTGGTTCACAGCTGTGGTGTTCAGAAGTGAGATTCTAGATAGATAGATAGATAGATAGATAGATAGATAGATAGATAAATAGATAGATAGATAGATAGATTTTTGTTTTGTTTTTTAATCAGAATCTCATGCTCTGTCACCCAGGCTAGAGGGCAATGGCGCGATCTCGGCTCACTGCAACCTCCGCCTCCTGGGTTCAAGGGATTCTCCTGCCTGAGCCTCCTGAATAGCTGGGATTACAGGTGCGCACCACCACACTTGGCTAATTTTTGTATTTTTAGTAGAGACAGGGTTTCACCATGCCATGCTGGTCTCAAACTCCTGACCTCATGATCCACCCACCTCAGCCTCTCAAAGTGCTTGGATTACAGGCGTGAGCCACCATGTCCGGCCAAGATAGATAGATAGATAGATAGATAGATAGATAGATAGATAGATAGACTTCAAACTCCTGACTCTGGGCGATCCACCCACCTCAGCCTCTCAAAGTGCTTGGATTACAGGCGTGAGCCACCATGTCCGGCCCCATTAGATAGATAGATAGATAGATAGATAGATAGATAGATAGATAGATAGATTTTTTTTTTTTTTTTTTTTTTATTTGAGACGGAGTCTCGCTCTGTCACCCAGGCTGGAGTGCAGTGGCCGGATCTCAACTCACTGCAAGCTCTGCCTCCCGGGTTCACGCCATTCTCCTGCCTCAGCCTCCCAAGTAGCTGGGACTGCAGGCGCCCGCCACCTCGCCCGGTTAGTTTTTTTGTATTTTTTTAGTAGAGACAGGGTTTCACCGTGTTAGCCAGGATGTACGCCCGGCCAAGATATATTTTTAATAAACTGTCAATAGGATCTGCAGATAGCTTGTATATGGGCTAAGAGGCAGGAAAAGGGGTCAAAACTCCCAAGTTTTTAGCCTGAGCAACTGGAAAGTAGAGTTGTCATGAACTGAGATGAAGACTACAGAGGTACAGATGGGTGAGGTGGAAATCAGGAGTTCAGTTTCAGAGCTGTTGTCTTAGATACCTATTAGACATTCAACTGGTGGTAACAGGTATATAGCCGGATACACAAATCTGAAGTTCAGTAGAGAAATCCAGACTATACATTTAAATTTGGGAGTTGGGGAGAGGTAAAAAAAAAAAAAAACCTTGCGGGTCATCAGCACATAGAAGGTATTTAAAGTCATGATTCTGCCAGCAGAGTGGCTCACACCTGTAATCCCAGCACTTTGGGAGGCCAAGGTAGGTGGATCACTTGAGGCCAAGAGTTCGAGACCAGCCTGGCCAACATGGAGAAACCCCGTCTCTACTAAAAATACAAAAATTAGCCAGGTGTGATGGCACACACCTGTAATCTCAACTACTCGGGAGGCTGAGGCATGCGAATCGCTTGAACCTGGGAGGCGGAGGTTGCAGTGAGCCAAGATCACGTCACTGCACTCCAGCTTAGGCGACCCAGAGCTAGACTCTTACCTCATAAAAAATAAAAATAAAATAAATAAATAAATAAATAAAGTCAAGATTCCAGATGAGCTGAAAGAAAAGATACATAATGTTATATTTCTTAGGCTAGGAGGTATGTATTATACACTGGTAACTATTGTTTTGTTTTGTTGGGATGGAGTCCCACTCTGTTGCCCAAGTTGGTCTTGCAAATAATTATTGTTTAATTATCATTTAAAATGTGCACAGATATTATATACATTCTTTTACATGTATATTTCATACACAGAAGGTAAATAATTTATCAAAATGAGTATCTGTTCAAAATGTTCATCATTTCCCTTCTTTGATAAATTTTTGAAACAGCTAATTGTTACGAAATTTTTCCTAAATTTGTTTAGTCAGAAATTTTGAATTCACCCTACTTATCTTTATTACAGCGCATTAAAGGTACCACAATGTTAACACAGCTGGCTTTATTTAAACTTATACATGCAGAGCACCTTACAGGTTCAAAATCACTTTCATGTACCATCTCACTTAGAGAAGGACAACTATCAAATGAGAAAAACTGAGATACAAAAAGTTTGACTGACTTGACCAAGGTCACAAAGCTGATAAAAGGGTTGAACCAAAGTTGAATCCAAGTTGCTCACTAAGACTACTCTCATCCAGTTATTTGCCTTATACTTCAATATCTCCAGAGTAACATTACTGTAGCAAGTCAATCTCCTACACGCAAAGGCTGCTAGATAGTAAATGTACTGCTTTCTTATTCTCCAAGAAACTGCCTATAACTCTCAAAAAGTTTGAATGAAATGAAGATCAAAAATAGATATTCTGCAACATGGAGAGAAAGCTTGAGAACAGAGCAATGACTATTGGGTTAATCCGGTTCTAAGCTTCAAAATCCTAGTTCCAGGTGGCACCACCTGCAAGCTAAAGATGAGACTCTGAAGGAGGAAGTTTTTTTAAAAAACCTTTAGACTGAAAAGTCTATTCTCCATCCTTCCTTTTCGCCAATTTTACAGGAACCTAAATGAAGGAATGCTTTAGACTGAAATAATGCGTACAAAGTTCTGTGTTTTCAGAAGCCACTAGAAGGGACTGGAAGTGGAGAGAAGTGGTGCAGCAGAAATGCAATTTAATTCAAAAACATCTGGAAAGACTTAGAAAATGGAAACAGATGCAAGGAGGACATTGTTATGAAAAAAGGAATGAAGAATTGCTGGATTTCTACTTTAATAGTGATAATTTGATATTCTGTTTTCATCCATGCAATAGACTTGAAACAAAATAAGCAACTACTTAAGAGAAAGTCAGTGGTCCTGATGAAAAATAAGGGTAAAGTTGCCTCTGTAAATCAAACTATTCTTCAATAGAATTATGCCTTGATCAAAAAATTTTTAAAAAATATGTCTAATAAGTGTTTTCATACTTGGCTTGGCCAAAGAAGGACATTTTATCATAAAGTATATTTTTAGTCACTTCCTAGGCATTAGTTTTCTTCTATTTTACCTCAAATCTTAATTTAAAATGATGTGGATAATTTGCATCTGTCACTGAAAGTCAAACATTTTCTTCCTGCAGAAAAGCAGGTGTTCTAAAGAATTCATAAGTACAAAAATAGTCATTAGTCAGATTGATAGAAAGACACCAAAATGACAGCTATCTTGTCTAAGTCCAGCAGCCCCAGTCTGCATTTTATTGATATTTTCTGATCAACATTCTCCTTCCATAACCTGTCTTCTGTGTGAGGAAACTGAAAGGCACAAAGTCCCTTTTGTTCTTTAACAGAAATCGTCCATCAATGAAAACCAATAAATAGCTATACCAAGATTCAAGTACACAGTGTGCTAATCAAACATTCACATATAAAAGTTTTATTAATCCATAGATTCTTTCAAAAGAGAAAAAAATTATGCATATTGGCAAAGATAGTGCGAAAGGCAGAAAAATTAAAATAGCTGATGCAACAGGGGTATCACACACTTACAGTGAATGTACACCAGTAATCCCAGCACTCTGGGAGGCCGAGGCTGGCACATCATCTGAGGTCAGGAGTTTTTGTTTTTGTTTTGTTTTTGTTTTTGTTTGAGACGGAGTCTCACTCTGTCGCCAGACCAGCCTGGCCAACATAGTGAAACCCCGTATCTACTAAAAACACAAAAATTAGCTGGGTGTGGTGGTGAGCACCTGTGATCCCAGCTACATGGGAGGCTGAGGCACAAGACTTGAACCTGGGAAGTGGAGGATGCAGTGAGCCAAAATCATACCACTGCACTCCAGTCTGAGCAACAGAGAAAGACACTGTCTCAAAAAAAAAAAAAAAAAAAAAAAAAGAAGCAACTTTAGGCTAAAAAAAAAAAAAAAACCACATTACTTTGCATTTTAACTTCTCTGATATGCTATTGTGTATGATAATTTTTAAAAAATTTTAAAACCTATAGTAATTCAGACCTGAGCTACAAAAGAAGAAATCAAATTTGTTTCTTCAAAAACTAAAAAATGGGTCCAGGTACCCAAGGTACCCAACACTTTGGGAGGACTGCTTAAAGTCAGGAGTTGGAAGCTGCAGTGAGCTAGGATCGCACCACTGCACTCTAGCCTAAGTGACAGAGCAAGACTCTGTCTCTATTTAGGGAAAAAAAAAAAAAAAAAAAGGCACCAAATACTTCCACAACTCAGAAAATGAAATAATAACTATGTTCGATTCCAGGCCAGTTTTATTATTGGTCTTCAATCAAAAGGCAACATGTCATTGATAGAAAAGGGTAACTTTATAAAACAAAATAAACGCTTTTTCCCTAAAGGAATTATAGAAACTATCCTATCCTACTCAAATTCCCAGAGTACTCATTAACTGATTT